TATTATTATTATTATTATTATTACTATTATTGTTTTTATTTTTGTTCTTGTTTCTATTCTTGTTTTTGTTTTTGTTGTTGTTTTTATTATTGTTTTTGTTTTTGTTATTATTTTTATTATTGTTTTTATTTTTATTATTATTTTTATTATTATTTTTGTTTTTATTCTTGTTTTTATTATTATTTTTATTTTTATTCTTATTTCTATTCTTATTTTTATTATTATTATCTTATTATTATTATTATTATTATTATTATTATTCTAATTCTAGTCTTATTCTATCCTTATTACCTTAGTTAATTACCCTGCTCAATCTACTCCATCTATTCTACTAATATTTAATCTACTAAATTAATAAATATAATAGACTCTCCTTTACTAGAATCCTCACTACAATCCTTATTATTACTTCTACCCTCTTTTTTACCTTCGTTTCTACCCTCTTCCTTACTATCTCCCCCACTTTCTTCTCTAATTCTCTTCCTTTTTCTCCCTTAACTATATAATAAACCAAATAGCGTATAATTAAATCTTAGCTATTCTAGGCCACCATAATCATACTCTTCTATATCTTAAATATTTAGAGAAAATTCAATTTTATCTTCACTACTTTCTCTACTATCTCTACTACTATTACTTCTATTATCTCTATTAGAATCCTCTTCTAAAGAGTAATAGCTAGTAAAATTACTAAATAGCTTTAATAGAAATGTTAGAATGTTAACGCGCTTTTAAATATTAATAAAAAACGATTTTTCTTTATTAGTACTTTTAAAACTAAGAACCTTATATTTAAAATTTAGGGGTATCTAACTTAAATTATAATTCATCGCTTCGTAAAATTATTAGAATATTAATTACTATAATTATTTAAAGGGCCCTATTACTCTATTTTCCTTTTTTATTTAGTAAATATTATATTCTATAATTTTATTTTTTAATTTATTTATAATTCCCTATTCTTAAATTCAGAATTATTTCTTATAGTCTTTTACTACTTACTTTTCCTCTTCTCTTTCGTTTATACGCCGTATATCGATAAAAGATGTATTATCAATCCGTATATTTAATAATTTAATTTTTCTTTGAATAGATATTTTTTTAGCCCGGTCGTTAAAATAGCTATTTTTATTATCCGTAAATTTATCGATAAAAGTCTTATAAAAAGTAGCTTTATAAAGATGAATTTCTATATTAATCAATTTTATTATAAAACCTTTAATTAATTAATTGGATTTTTCTAATATTTTTTCAATTTAGGGAGCAATACTTTTCAATAGCCCAATAATCTCTATAGCCTCAATCCAACGTTTTAAATTAAATTCTATTATTTAAGGCTATTAGGGAATAAATTCGCTTGCTAAATCTTGCTAAAGCTTGTTAATAATTAGTTTAGAGTTATAAAGTTATATTCTAGATTTCTTAAAGCTATTTAAAATATATGGGTTAGTGAATGTACTATTAAATATACGCTAAGAGTCTAGTTAGTATAAGACTCAAAAAAAAAAAAAAAAAAAAAAAAAAAAAAAAAAAACTTACACTAAAATTTCGCATAAAGTTATAACGATCAAACTGCAAATTTCCACTTCGAAAATAGTCTCGCAACACTTTTTAGTATAGGCGTTTAAAATGCTAGAAAACACCCACATCCATAGGTTATAAAAAATATAAAGAATATAGAGGAAGAAAGACAATAATATTATTAAACTTTTTATAGTAATTATATACCTTTTAATTGTAATAGCCTAAAAAAGAATTAAATAAAAGAAGGCGATATTCTTTACTACTTAATTATATACGAAGATTCTCCTCTTCTCGAATTATAATCTTATTATTTCGAATTATAACTTATTCTTCTTTAAGGGTTATACTAAATTATTTATTAAAATCTAAATTATAACGTTAGGTATTAGTAAGGTATTTCTAAAAGTATTTATTGAAATATTTTATTTAATTTAGTATAATTTAAATATTATTAAATACTATTTTAGAAACGTTAAACTTTATATCTAAATTAAAGTCCTAAAAAAAACCCTAATCGGTTACTAGGTCGGTTTTGAAAATACAATAAATTAGAATAGATTTACTAATAATACTTCTAATACTAATTAAGGTTATTAACTTACGGTTAGCAAAATTCGTAATTTGAGGTTAGAAAGAAGTTAATATAATTAAAAAAAGAATAAAAAATAAAGGGCTATTTACTCTTCTTTTCTTTACTAATTTAATTATTAGAATTTCAATATTACTATTAAATATAGTAATGCGGTAACCTATTTTATTAATATTCTAACAATTAGAAGAATTAATATAATATTTCTTTATTATTTTTTGTAATATATTGAAAAACTATTATACAAACTATATCTAATACTCTACAAAAACCCTATCCAATTCTATTAAGTTAAATTTAGAAGGTTTAAATTAAGGATAATCCTTTTTCTATCTCCTATAGAAATGTTTATTAATTAATAATTGAAGAGGGTTTCTACTTACTCGTAAATTAATAATAGAAGTAATAAATAAATCTTTAATAGTTAAATTATAGGAATTAATAAATTAAAAAGCGTATTTTTCTAATAATTAATCTTCTACTTCTATAAAATTTATCGGACAACCGCCAGACTTTCCTCTATTAGGCCTAGTTAAATACCGAAGGTACTAAAGCCTATATTATAATTATTAACTATAATAGTTAATTTAAGATTTTAATATACTAAATTTGTAGGCAGTATCTCAAATTGTAAGCTTTTTCTCAAATATTTCTAAAGGGTTATTATTATTATCGTAATTAATTCTAACACTAACAATAGTAATTTGAAGGATATAAATTTAGCTCCGTATAATTTATTAATTAGAAATTAGGATATTAATTAATTAAAAAAATTATTATTATCATTACTATTACTACTATTACTATTATTATTTATTATAGTAACGTTATTAGTAATAAAACTACTAGGCAATTTTTTTAATTTAAGGTTCGTTATTATCTTCGCTTTTACTAGAAGTATTATTAGTATTAGTATTGGTAATAATAGTATTAGAATTAATAGAAAGAGAATTAGAAAAAGGTTAGGAAAAGCTAGGATATATTTTAAAAATAATTAAATCCTCTTTACTAGAACTCTCTCTAAGGTTAGAATTATTAAAGTAAAGTATTTAAATAAATAAAAGTAGGAGGTAAATAAATAAAAGTAGGGGGTAAATAAATAGAAGTAGAATTAAATTAATTAAAAGAAAAGGAAGGTTATACGAATTAAAAGAAAAAAGAAGAAGAAAAATTAGAAACCTACCTTCTTTTATAGAAGGGGGAACAAACAAATATCTTATAAAATTAAAAACTTTAATTATACATACAATAAATATAATATTAATATATATTTGGTATATATATAAGTATAGATGTTAAAATATTAGTATATATTTGTAAGAATGTAGGAGTATTTTAGTTTATAATACGTATAGTTAGTGTCTAACCGAGTATAAAAGTAGGTTAGCCTTATTAAGAAATATAAAATTAAGGTATAATAGTAATAATTGGACTTAAAATAGTAAAGTTATAAGGGTTCGAAGTTAGTAAATAATAGTAAAATTAAGAAATAGAGATTGAAATTCTATAGCCTATAAAAATTCGGCTTTTATAACTATATAGATACAATAATATTATTAAGATAGAGAAAGTAAAGATAAAAAGAATGTAGGTTAAAAGAATTTTTTTGGCTTAGGAATGGTAGATGTGTAGTATTGCAAAGTTGGAAGGTAGGGTTTTACCCTTTTTAGGCTGTATTTTTGCTGTCCGTTTGGGTTTTGTCGTATCCGGTGGTTTTGTCGCCAACTCTGTGGAGCAGAGTTGGAGACCCGACAGGAACCTGGACCCCTCTCCAACAAGTACGTATCGTGCATTGGATTGGGTTGGATCGTAAGGACTGGTCAAAGTTGCCCCTACCTTGGGAAAGAGGAAATGGAAACGACAACACCAACAAAAAAATGAAAAAAATAAAAAAAAGAGAGAGAAAAAAAAGGGCGGGGTCAGACAGGGCACCAATACTGGACGGAGCAAAGCCCGAGTGCCCTGCAGTACAGTGAGTGAGATGAGGGGATTCAGGTTCTCTTGGTAGAGGTACCTCTAGGTAGCAAACTGCAGCCCGTCCACTACAGTACCTACCTCTACTTCTCCGTATCCGCCAATTTCTTACTGTAACAGCGATCACAGGCCCCGGCGGACAGCCTTAAACAAAAGCGGATCCCGGGGAATCTTTCCTCTCCCTCCACTGTCGACGGGAATGTCTCCCATTGCGAGCGCAAGCTTGTGCCTAGAGGTACCCTGGATGCCTGGGCTCCCCAGGGCTGGCAAGTGCAATACGCTAGTGAAATGCGGGTGAGTGCTGGAGTGCAACGCTGAGCAAACTTTAACTGAGACTGGACCTCTTGTCCCCGAGCCCCGGTCTTACCTACCTCTAGTGTATCATCGGGAAGGAGTTCTTTCCCCAGCTCGGTGAGAATGGGATGGATGTGACCAGGGCAGATACCTCTAGATGATGGGATCGCCCCTCGAACCTTCCTCCTCCCTCAACGCTCTTTCCCCTTTGCAGCCAAAAGGGATTGACCGCCCGCTCATTGTGTCGACCATTTGGAGCAGGAGCAGCACAGAAAAAGAAAAAGAAAGAAAAAGGAGGAACATGTAACCCCTCAGCAGGAGACAGAAAGAGACAGGTCAGCGAAGACGGGGCAGATGGGGCCCTTGGCTTGACCTTTCTCGCTCGTAATTCGGCAGCAGGCAACAATCCATGATGGATCTCATCGACGGCCATCTAGCAGGAGTGCTCACAGATCTGTCCTCCAGATTGGCTCGCTAGGTAACTTCTTGCTGCATCTCCGGGCCCTGGTGGACACGTGCCGGGGGAAGGGGGTCGTAGGTACCTCTGTTAACCCAACAAAGTCTCGTCGTCTTTTCTCCACTACCAATTTTACGCCGTCATAGACCTAGCCTACCTCTACCTCGACCTAGAGCCATCCCCTCTCAGCTTGACCACATCATCTCAGTCCAACAAACAGCCCAGTGGCGTCTTTTCATGGGATGATTGGGGCCGTACACCTCGCCATAGCAGTGAGTTGTGGCTTTATGCGATGGACTTTGACTTCAGCTACAAAACAAACTCGAAGCACCATGAGCAGTTTCTCAAAAAGAGGCTTTCATTCAGATTCGGGGGCTACAAGCCGACCAAAGGACCACAGTCTCGGTCACAGACTCACAGTCACGGTCGGTCCCAGTTGCAGTGACACCCTCCAACTTGGCTTCTCATTACTGTGGCTCCGTCCTGTGCAAACACCGCGTCCAACTGAACAGGGGAACCACATGAGCTTTTTCTTTTGTCAACAGCATCCAATAACATGGCCGGCCATCAGAGAGGAAAGCGACAGGGCCCACGAGGCTGCCTAGGTGACTGATGGATCATCATGTTGATTTCATTCGACGGCATTCTTAGGTTCCGTTGTCGAGACTGAGCCAAAACACCTTTGCCTTTTACTAATTTGCCGCAAACTGAAAGACGGCATCCGTCTTTTGTTCCAAACTCAGGCCATATCTATCGTCACTGGCACTCAGTGTAGACATTTTTGGCTCTGCATGTCCCACGCTCATCTCTCTTCTCTCCTCTCTCCTCTTTGAGGTCTCACCATCCGTCGTCAACATTGTCCACGGTGCTGGGTGTGGACTGTGACGTGCCTGGGCGACCACCACCTGCGCAACCCTTCGTTGCTCCATTGCTTGCTTACATATTCCCCCCCTGTTGACACAGTAACACCCCCTCCGTTCCTGAGTCAACCTAGAAACCCATCCCCTTGTTCAACAGCCGTTCATCGTTGACGCCAGGCTACCTACCCTTAGCGCGGGATCTCCCAAGGGTACTTACGCGGTGCAGATCGAGACCGTCATCGTTCGTTGTTACCGTTGTCCTTTTGAACAGACGTACATGTTGCTCGCTGGTGTACAAAGGTACACTAACGCCGAGCACAATGCAGATCAGGGCCTCTCAAAGTTGGTGTAACGGACATTTTGCCCGGCCCCGACAGCTGTTCCATTCCCAATGGTTCCCCTTTATTGCTGCTGACTTCCACGCCTTCCAAGCCAAATCTAGCGCTTCCATGCTGCAGCGGCCAGGATATCAAGACAGTGTCAGGAAGAAAAGACCCCGAAGCTGATTAACCCGCTTTCTGGATTGCCAATGATCGACCCGCCTAGTCTACTTTGGCATCCCTGCTAGGCAATCTACAGCCGGGCATCTTATTCGTCCCTCTTTCTCAAAAGACGTGGTACTTAGGATAGCCTCAAGACCCCCCCTCCTCCATTCTTGCCCGTCCCTCAAGGTGCTGGGCCAGGCAAATATCATAATATCAGCCTTTCTTTAATCTCCCCAGTTGTCAACTACCCCGGCTTTGCCATATTGCCTCAATATATTCTCACCAGTCTACCCGTTCCTACTTCCGCCCTGGCCCTACAATTCAACCAGTCTGATTGCTTAGCCTTGGATTTGCTCCTTCAACACCTCGGCATTTTCACTTAAGCGCCTTTTACTCATAAGCGCCTCGCCCCTGCGTGCCCTCGCCACCCGTTTTGGCCTTATCATCCTCGAGTAGACCAGCAAGATAGCGTTGCTCGGAGTCGATACACATAGGCCCGCCTGTACACCAACGCACTCGGCTACTACAACTGTACGTAGTTTTTGTGCCTCGAGGGACCACCGCGGTGGGCTGTCATCCTGCTCAACACACTCAAGTACCACTCGGCTACCTACAGTAGAGACCGCCATCCAACATCCCGCCCCAGCGAAACCTCACAAAATTCACCTGTACCTCTACGCCGGCCTTGTTCTCACTCCTGGAACCCGGAATTCGCCAAGTATACCCACGGCCTTGCATGCAACACCAGACGCCTGCACTGCTGGCATCTGTCTTGGTTGGACCTATTGTTCTCCCAATGTAAGACATGCCGCTCATGCTCCATCCCAGAACCCAGTTATCTGGGTTCGTATCGGTTCTTGGTCGGAAGCAAAACCGGCTTCATCCGCATTCCTTCGCTCTTGCTTCGCTGTTGCCATCTTGCTACACAGCAGCATCGCCGACCTAGAAGATCCCTTGACTGACACTGCCTACCTATAGAACCATAACCACCGTCTTACGCCCTCTTCCTCTCAATGTCTACTGCTGTCGAGTCTTCTCATCACATCTTTGGCACCACTTATACGCTCAACAACATGTCTCGATCACTTCACACTCCTTACGAGGCCTACTCCTCAAGGCACGGACACTACATGCCAGAACAGCAATCACATCAGCCGCACTTGTATCGCCAACAGCAACAAACCAGGCTGCCTCCCGTGACTACCATTCTACCCGTCACTGGTCCTGGTCCCGTTTCTTCTTCCTGCGATCCAGTTTACCGAGGCCATAGCCAGACTTATTACTCCGACTACCCAACTCCTTCACCAGTGGGACAAACACCTCCTCAACTCCCGATTACCTATAGCGAGGCTCGTTCTTATCATGGGAGGCAACTAGACGGCCGTCTGTCCCCAGCCTATTCCACTTCCGCCAGTGAAAGGTCAACCGTTGAGTCAACCTACGAGCCTCGTTCAAGGCAAACGAGCAACGGTCATCAGGCGCATGTTGAGCCATCTTGGCCACCGTTCCACCAGCAGCCCTCACGATTAAGACAGGAGTCATCCAGCCATTTTACTATGGTACGGAAAGCCTCGACACTCGACAAGAACCACAACAGCAACAACTCTCCATCATCCGAGGGATCACAGACCCCATCCAGTTCCCAGCAAGGCGGTTCCCCAAGGCAGGAATCCCGGCCCATGAGCATATCCAACCTCATAAGCACCGAAAACACCAGAAACAAGCGGAACCCGGTCACCCTACCACCACCACCCTCAGGCAAAAAGACCGATTACCGAATCTTCGTCCGTCAACAGCCCTTCGCCGCCCGCAGCTGCGGCTTTGGCGAACGCGACCGGCGCGTCATCGACCCGCCGCCCATCGTGCAGCTGACCATCCACAACGACACGCTCTCACGCGAGGAGCACAGCCGGCTCCTGCGGCATCAGTTCAGCGTCATCCACTGCAGCATTTGGGACGAGACGGGCGTCAAGGACATGAGCAGCATGCCCGAGGATTTCCGGCAGCAGCGGCGTTTGATGGGGACGCTGGTTGCGTCCCCCTTTGTCGGGTTCGATGAGAAGGGCGAGGAGGGCTGTTTCTTCTGTTTCCCCGACCTGAGCTGTCGCACGCCCGGGACTTTTCGGCTCAAGTTTGCGCTGGTTGTGCTGGACCCCGCGAGGATGATGGCGGGTGATAGGAGTAGTATTGTCGCGACGGTGATGAGCGAGCCGTTTCATGTGTATAATGCGAAGGATTTCCCGGGGATGAAGGCGAGTACGCCATTGACAAAGAGACTCAAAGGGCAGGGGTGTTTGATCAGTATCAAGAAAGGAAATGAGAAGGGAGGGAACGGGAGTGGGAGTAAAGGCGACAGGGAGGAGGAAAGTGGGGAGGAAGATGATGAGGATGCGGATGGGGAAGAGAGCGGGAGGGGAGGAGGGAAAAAGGGGAGGAAGAGGCAGAAGAGGGGGTCTTCGTGAAGGTGTTTTCGATTTTGATAATCGGGTTTTTTTCTCTTCTTCTTTTCTTCCCGGGGTTCACCCATTTTACGGTTCACGACTCGCTATATACCCATTTTCATTTACTCTTCTTCTCTGGCTATGGTTTCCAAGCAAGATCATTTTACTTTTATCAAAAACCGTTCCTGCAAATTGGCGCAATTGGGGTTTCGGAGCCAAAGTGAACAGTCAGTCATCTTTCATACTTAAACCTTACTTCCTCCAAACGTTACCAATAATCACCTAACAGCGCCAGTGGTTTAGTGGTAAAATCCATCGTTGCCATCGATGGGCCCCGCGTTCGATTCGCGGCTGGCGCAAATCTTTTGCATTTTTTTTGTCTCAACACTTCCCTCCCTCTCCTTAGTCTCCTCCACTTTCCTTTGATTTGTCATTTCTACTTGTTGTTCGAATCACCCTTTTTTTCTGGGAAGGAGAGGAAGGAAAGAAGGATGAGCTGGTCACGATGCCCAGTACTAGTTCTTTTTTCCCCTCATGCATCATGGAAAAAAGGTTCTAGAGGAAATGGGACAAATAGGGAAAGAGCAACTACATCACTTCTACCATAGGCAACAATGGAAAGCAACGAGAGAACCAGCACGCCAGCAATATTCCGTCAGAGCCCGATGTACACTCCAATTTGTAGCTCATCCTTTCTGTGTTATGTTCTAAGAGCTATGTCGAATAATCAGCATCTGGCCATCGGCAGCTCAAGGAAGTGACGGATCGACACCTAGACAAGAGTCCTCGGACGGACGGGCGAGACATAGATCTTGGCCAGAGAAGTAGCCGAAAACATGTCAGTCACAGCTCATCAACGGAAGCCGCTCATTGGGATTATCATCTACAACCTAACTAGGGAAGCTACGATGTAGGTTCCAGTCCGCTTTCTTATTCCGTCACAGCTGCTTATTGGCCACAATTTGAACTACCTCTATCGATCAAAACAGTTGGAGACATCGATGTGAAAGGGAACTTGAAGGATGAGTTGTTTCACAAGTCAATATGCATTTCACTTGGGGGACAATCTAGGGACTCGGTACTGGCATAGATCACCAGACCCTGCGATACAATGATTTGGAGGTTTGTGGTCATGATGCTTTATGGCGACTGGGTCAATTTGAACAAACACACTGCATATCATCAGCCTCGCGAGGTCATTGGAGTTCGAAAATATGCTTCGTTGACTGTACGGCTTTGTTACTTATCCATTTACCTAGTTAGTCAATCACTTAGTTATCCACTTACCTGGCTACCTGGCGACCCAGTGCCCAACAGCCAAGTTACTTACCTCCATAGCTACTTACTTACTTACTTACTTACTTACTTACCGAATCATCAATGTCTCACCTCTCTCTTTCTCCCTTGAGCCTTCCCTCCCGGATTTCATGATCTCCAGGGTATGCAGGTACAAGCCCGTTGTTTTTCTCCGAGCCGCAGTCCCTGTTCTACTGTGTACATCGATACATGCGTTCGATTCGGGCATACATTCCACTAATAGCGGTAGTGTTGTCGTTGCTTTTTGCGGGTTAGAGATAACGAGTACTTCCTCCCTCCATGTCTCGAGTCGATCTTCGCCTGTTGTGTGGGTAGGGCTTGCTACACTACGAGACTACTCGTCCTGGGGATTCGAAGTAGGATAGGGTAGGGTAGAGGTAAGGACTTGGATTGGTGGGTAAGGAGAGTGACGGCTTGTGTGATGGTTTACTATGACTAGTATATTTACCGAGGTTGGACTACCGACCGACCGACCGACCGACCGACCGACCGACCGACCGACCGACCTGTTATCGACACTGACCGTGATGGTGATGGGGGAGGATGTGTCCCAGGATCATGCATTGGTGATGAAATATCTGGAAAGTGGAAGTTAGGGCGGAATGGAGGTCAGGCGTTGGAATTGATAAGATGGGCGCGAATAGGTAGGTACGTGGTGAGTTGGAGAGAGGACCGGGGAGGCACAAGTCGAGAAGCATATGGAGGTGATGATGGTGACGAATGGCTGGAGGGCCATGAGGAACGGTGATATGAGTGATAGCGTGGTGACAAAGCGGTACTTTTCCTCGTAGAGAGATTTCACTAGCTTCTGGCTTTTCTGCTGATATTGAATATGGTATCAATGGTGTGTATTTCGTGGCTTTCATCTCTGGGAGCCAACAGTTGTCCGCCTCCCTGAATACGCCGGGGCAGACTTCTTTGATGTTCTAGTACTTCGGCTTGGGATCAGCAAAGATTGGGCCGGTGTTCTTCTGCAGCTCATCATACACCGATTTCCCCATGCCTGAGAGCTCAGCCCATTCCTTAGCAGCCAGCTTATACGTCTCCCTCTCCATCTTGGAAAGCCCGGGCTCGTCCAATCTCGTCTTGCAAAGGCGCTCCAGCTTTCCCGCCGCCTTCTCATCGCCGCCTTGCGCCGCTCTCTTGAATCGCAGCTCCGCCTCCTCATTCAAGAGCCGCATAGCCCCAATCAGAGCGTCCGTCGTCTCTAAACCTTTGTAGAAGTCAATAAAGGCACTCGACAACACGAGCTCTACTTCTTCCTCCTCCTCTCTCTCGACTTTGAAATAGTCACTGATCTTCTCAGCCTCCATCTGCATCAGAACCGCAAGCGCATAATGTCCTTGCTCCACATCCAGCTCGTCGGCCGCGATCCGCAGCTCCTCAACGGCTTCGCTGATCTCCCCCATCATCGACAGCGCCATCCCCTTCCTGACGCGATACATGCCCTCCCACGTCCAGTGCGGCACGCGCGCAGGTCGCTTGTCCAGCGGCAACAGCTTGTCGAGCATCAGTCGCCTGCGCAGTGCGTACGCGCTGGTCTCTTTTCGAACCACCAAGCCCAGCAACGTCTCCTTCAGGTCGCTGAAGAAGCTCAACGTCTTGACCAGGAACGGAAGTCTCTCACTCTTGCCGCCTTCCAAGGCGTGGGAGACAAGGGGCTCGACCTTGTACCTCCCCGGACTCCGCTTGTAGCCCTCCATGGCCTTGTTCAGGTACATCAGCGCGATCTCGGGCTTTTTGGGGTCCCACAGCTCGGCGGCCTTCCAGGTGCAGGCATTGGCGTCATTCTTGTTCAGCAGCTCCTGGTACTTGGTCTGGATGTAGCGGTACGTCTCGCTCTTGGGGTCGCGGCGGCGGGCGATCGCCTCAAAGTAGCGGTACATGGTCAGGATGGCGGGCGGGTAGTTGAGCGTGGACAGCATGTGCAAGATGTGCATGCCCATCTGCCAGAAGGCCGGCACCTCAAAGTGCGGGTGGACGAGCAGGAAGGCGCAGTAGTAGAGACGCGAGATGGGGAAGTAGTCCTCGCGCATCATGCGCGTCTTCCAGGTCGACTCGTGCTTGACGGCCACGACCATGTAGGCGAGGACAGTCTCAAGGCAATCTTGCGCTCTCAGGTTGGGCGTCTGGAGATGGTGGACGAGGAACTCCCATTGTTCGAGGGTGGGACCTTGGTACTCTTCGAAATAGCGACCAGTTTCAGCTCTTCTCCGCTGCATTTTGGCCGCTTTGGCATAGGAACGTCCTTGCTGTGGTGACGCTTGGCCATGGCTCCTTGGCGAGCTCCATGAGGATGATTGGGGAGATGGTACCGACGGCCGTACATGATGAAGCGCAACGGGCGACACTGGTTGTAGGGATGAAAGGCGACATGTTTGCCGCACCAGAGCCCGGGATCTGTGCATGGCGGGTTTCAAAGGGGTTGTGAGCCTGGAGCTCACTTCGACCGAGGTGAGTTGAAGCAGGTGAAGTGAGGTTGAGGAAGTGTGGTGGAGAATAGGTATGCCCTGGGACTGTTGATGTTTCGGGTACCTAGCTGTTAGTGCATCCGGTAGTACCGTACCTTGCCTCTTAGAGATGCTATGCTTTGGTCTTCAGGCCCAACGCAAAGAGGGTATCAAATCATAATGGTAAATTGGATAGCTCAAGAATCTGTCATCGTGAGAGATATAAAAAGATGTCATTTCTGCCCTCTCGAACAGTTATCGGCTCCAAGTCACAACAATGAAGTACAGCGAAGCAGGTAGCGCTGCGAGCGAAATTGTTAGTGCTCCTCAACGTTGGATTTAGGTATTGTTGTTTACTCCTCCGCAGGGGGGTGTGCTAAATACAAGAATAGGGTCAGGAACCGCGGACAATCAGGAATTGAACCAATCAGGAAATCCGGCGATTGCCTGCCCCAGTTGCCAGACCCTGGTCGGCCAAAAAAAGTGTGAATTGGAGAAAGTTCAAACCTTCGAATTGCGAACCCTTTTGGTCCCTTCACTTGAGATTCCCGTCCCGTCTTCATATCGCCTCATTCAAATCACTCAATCTTCAGATTTCCCAAGAACTGAAATATCAGTTCACATACAGTTCTGAACAAGAATATAGGGTTTTCAAAAAGCTATCGAAAAATCTTGCCACGGCGCATCATCAAAATGGCACCAAGGACTCGAGGCCAAGTAGCAAGGGAGAACTCTCCCGAAAAGGCTGCTGCTGCCACTCCCGCAAAAGCACCTCGTGCAACAAAGGCTGCGGCCAAGAAGAACACCCCCAGGAAGACTGCCTTGAAGAGGGCCGCTGAGATTGTAGAAACTGAGCAAGTGGAGGTTGAGAGCACGGTTCAGACACCCTTGAAGGAGTCATCGACAGAATCATCCGTCTCGGCCAGGAGTATCAAACGTGTCGAGATCGAGATCCCCATTCCCACATCAACTGCCAAGGCCCAGGACCCTGATACAACAATGGAGGGAGAATCGCAACTGTTCCAGACCCCGACCGAGCAGCCGCGGGGAAAGCGCATCACATTCGACGACAGTGAGCAGGAGGAGTTTGTCACGCCAAGAGAAGCACCGGATGTCAACCCGTTGGAAGAGAGGCTGAATGAGAAGAAGAAGGAACAGCAGGGGCAAAGTGAGGAGGATTCGGAAGAGGAGGACAGTGACGATGAAGCTCCTGAAGCGGTCTCTACCCATGCGGCTCAGGCCAAGTCTTTGGAAGCTGAGAAGGCTGCTCAAAAAGCTGCCGAGCAGTAAGTCACAATGCGGAACCGTGAAACATGACGCGCCTCAAGCATGATTCTGACAACTACTACAGGCAAGCTGCTGCGGAGAAGAAGAGACGCCAAGAGCGTGATGCCATTCTCAAGGAGCAAGCAAAGTCCAAGAAGCGCGCCGCCAAGAAGGTTGAGCAACCGAGCGAGGATGAAGCCGAGTCAGAGTCTGAAGAGGATGCTGCGGGCGCATTGGCCGAGAAGAGGAAGCGGGAGATTCCGAAATTGCTCCCCCTTGAGCTTTTGGAGTCCGACGACGAAGACGATGAGATTCCCCGGAGGTCAGATTCAGCCGAAGGAGCCAAGAGGAGAAAGGTTGTCCGTGAGGCCAAGGGTCCCAAGGACGAGAAGGTTGGTTCGACAGTGTTCAGAGTTGTGCCGAACAACACAAACCAGAGCCTGGCGCCCAAGGTGAAGAGGCAAGCGTTGAACCTCAAGGAAACCCTCCTGCTCCGAAACAGGAAGCCGCAAGTAAAGGGCGGGTTTTTTAGGCGGTAATGTGCAGATCGTGAGGGAGAACCGAGGAAGTGAAAGGACGAGGCGGACAGTTTACACGTGTACACGATATCTCAATTCTGCTGGTGATCAACAATACCTAGTCAATCCAGAGCCGAACGGACGAGCGGACAGGAAGTTGACACAACAAGCACTCCAGCCTCATTAGTCGGACGCAGGTACAGCGATCCACAACTGGATGGAGATATGACGACACACAAGGGTCCCAGTTAATGATACCAAACCAGCAAAAAGTAAACACACCTACCTTTAGCCGAGTCCCGTCTTCTTGAGAATTGTTTCGTGAAAGTGGTGTCATTTGCTTTCGAACAAAAAGCATTATGAGATATGCTGAGAAGTGGTGTCATATGATGTAGTGTAGAGGAGGACTTGCAGCTTGGAAGCACCATTGACAATCGGACCTTCTCGCAACTGGATCCCACCCGCCAAGCAACCATTCACACACGAAAACCTCGAGGGACAACAACCAGCTCCGGGTCGGGAATCGCAATGTGTGACAGGCTCACTCCGTCTGGCGCCCCCGAACTGCCTCTGGGTCTGCAGATGATAATCCACTTTTACGTCTGATGCCTCCGCCCTAGTGTAGTAGCTAGTCTTCTGAGTCCCGACCACCCCTCCTCCAGCGGTACACTACATAGAGGTACCCTATCCCCACTTCGTCCTGTCCCATCTCGAGCTCTGTTTCCAACTTCCACTCCAACAACAACAACATCATCATCATCACAACTTTGCCATCTGCTTCTGCTTCCAGCAACCCCCTAGATACCCCCCTTTTTTAGTACTACCAAACAAAACAAATCGCTCAAAATGGCTCGCAAGTTCTTTGTCGGCGGTAACTTCAAGATGTGCGTTAATTCCCTTCCCAGAGCTGAGGGGAGCTTTCCCCAACACTTTTACCCCGCCATTACCATCATCATCATCAGCGCACCCCGTCATATGCCACCAAAACCCCGCGGTAACGACTCGGCCAGCTAACCAAACAAACCCCTATTTCTAGGAACGGGACCCGTAAGGATCTCAAGGCCATCGTTGACAACCTTAACAACGCCCAATTGGACCCTAACGCCGGTATGTCTGCAACGCCAGACCAAAAAAAGACAGGGTGGAATTAGCAGTACAATGCTCAAATGCTGACCAGAACATAAACAGAGGTCGTGATCGCCCCTCCCGCTCTCTACCTTGACTTCGTCAAGCAGAACCTCCAGAAGCCCAACGTTGAGGTTGCCGCCCAGAACGTCTTCAACAAGCCCAACGGCGCCTTCACCGGCGAGATCAGCGCCACGCAGCTCCTGGATCTCGGCGTCAAGTGGGTCATTCTCGGCCACTCTGAGCGCCGCAACGAGCTCGGCGAGTCGGACGAGTTCATTGCCTCCAAGACCAAGTACGCCCTCGACAACGGCATCTCGGTCATCTGGTGCTGCGGCGAGTCCAAGGACACGCGCCAGGCCGGCGAGACCATCAAGTTCGTCGAGAACCAGCTCGCCGCTCTCGCCAAGGAGATCAACGACTGGAAGAACGTGGTTATCGCCTACGAGCCCATCTGGGCCATTGGCACCGGCCTCGTCGCCACCAAGGAGCAGGCCCAGGAGGTGCACGCCGCCATCCGCAGCTGGCTCAAGCAGAACGTCAGCGACAAGGTTGCTGAGGAGACTCGCATCCTCTACGGTGGCTCTGTCAACGCCAAGAACTGCAAGGACCTTGCCAAGGAGCAGGACATTGACGGTTTCCTTGTTGGCGGTGCCAGCTTGAAGCCCGAGTGTAAGTACTTAGCTGCCATTGTTGCAACGAGAGGAAGAAAGATGGCTAACATGAGATGATGCAGTCGTCGACATTATCAACGCCAACCTGTAGATTACTTGCCCATAAAAGTTATAGCTTTGTAACAGCCGCACTTGTATAGGCTGGGAAATGGTGTTGAGGACACGGCGAAAATACAAAAAAGTTAAATGTCCTGAATTCGTTCGATTTGGGATCGAAGACCGTAGTTTCGCCTCCCGTAGCCCGTTCATGACTTTTTGTGACACCAGACACCACAACTCCGCGGCTCCTCCATTCGCTCTTAGATGTTCATCCCAAGTTCCAATATCAACAGTCAACCACTAAGCACCAGAAGATAATGTCTGATTCTTTGGAACTGGGGCAACTCATCATGGGAACTCGATAGCTCTGGAAGGACTTGATCACAACCATATAGCCAAACCGAAACCCTTGATACATCCAGAAACTCTTTTCATGTCCTTGATTCATATTCATACATTCAACATGGTATATACAATCCACCTGGTACTCAACCGAGCCAACACCGGTCAAGCACCAGTCCAGTCCAACACCAATCCAGTCCAGCACCAATTCAGTCCAGCACCAATCCATCCAGCACCAGCACCAGCACCAGCACCAGCACCTGCTCCTCCCTTTTCCGCTTTATACAGCCATACCCTGCCCATGGTAAGGCGACCAGACGCCTCTGACACTGGGGTTCGTGCTGGTGACGGGCTTCTTGAACTTCTGGGGCTTCTCGCCGCTCGCGTCGCGGAGGAGCTCGGCCTTCTTGAGGATCTCGAGCGGCTCCATGTTGCGCACGCAAATGGCCTTGGTGCGCCCGTTGATGTAGTGGCCCATGAGGATCGGGTGCTTGGCGGGCCGGGGAGAGACGACGAACTCGATTTGCGGGTTGGCGGCGGCGAATTTGGGGAGGAGGGATTTGATGAAGCCGCTGGAGGAAAGAAGTGTTAGTGAAAGGGTCTGTCTGCAGAGGTCGCGAAGGGAGACTGGAGGGACGAGGAGGGTTGGAGGTTGGATGGTATGGAACGAGGGCGACGTGGGAAGACGAAGGAGGGCGTGAAGGTCTTGGATGATGATCGAGGACGCATGAATAGGACTCGGTATGCAGGAAGAGTGTTTGATCGGAAGGGGTAGTGCTGCTGTTCATGTCGAAGGATCGTAAACGTACTTCATGCCCCGGGAGCTGCCGGCCCAGTCACTGTAGTGGATGTCCAACTTCTTGCACTGCAAGACGAATGCGCCGACGCCATTCTAGAGACAAAACAATCAACGATTAGCAATTTGTTTTTCTTCTTGATCAAACTGTTTAATTGCTCAGGCTGTGGTCTAACTTACACGGCCGGCAGAGGAGATCTGCGTCAATGCTTTTACCGTCATTGTTGTGATGCTCTTCTTCTTCTTCTTCGCCGCCGTCCTCGCCTTGCAACAAGTCCGAGTCCACCAGGGTTCATGATCCGGAGGGCGGGTGCGACTTGAACTTCTGCCAGACTCCCGCCCCGTCGCGCGCCGGCACGGCACTGGGGGGGACCCGCCCAACTGCAAAAGCGGTCGGCAGGATTTCACGCGATTGCACTCCTCCTCGGGTGTGTGCGTAGTGATAAGACGAAGGGTGCACGGTCCCTCTTTCGCACTCAGTCGTTCGGTGGTCGAGCGCGCGAGAGCTGCCCAGGGCACAGCAAGAGCTCCAGTCGCTGCGAGGCTGCCAGGCAGTGGACGACACAACAACAGGCAGGGCCCTTTGCTGCTCCCGCCTCCCACCCTCTCTCCCGTCTCTCTCTTCAGCTGTCCAAGCAAAGTCGCGAAAATGCGGTTTTGACCTTTCTCGTAAACCGACACCACCACATTATCGTCATCACAAGAATTGGCAAACAGTAACAGTGTTAAGCTTTATTGAACTGTTCTCGCCCGGCTTTCCGAACAGTGGATAAAACGACAGACGACGACCTACATTTCCTGGTTTCCGACATATCGATTTCTGATTCGACGACAGATAAGATCAACAAAAACACCACTTGACCAGCTACAACAGCGACAACGTGAAGCGACAATGACAGACCGGCTCCCGCCTAACCTCCTCGCACTCTTCGCGCCCCGGCCACCTCTGCGCTGGGTGCCGCCCTGCGATGTTGCTCCCGAAGAGCGCAAGTCGGCCTTCATCACCCCCGTTGCCGACTTCCTTCCTGCCATGCAGGCCTACGAGCAAGAATACGAGTACCATCCCACCGAGAGCTGGCTGGAGGCGCGCGACCGCAAGAAGCGCGAGAAGAAGGAAGCTTTGGAGAAGCTGTTGACCGAGGGTCCCAAGAATTGTACGCGGCAAACCCCCAACGTTGCGCGCAGTTGTACTCGCTACTCCTTTACTTGATCATTATCTTGCTGTCATGCGGCTTGCTAACCGATGGCGTTTATCTGTAGACAACCCCAATGACGATCCCAACATCAGAGGAGATGCTTTCAAGACGTTGATAGTGGCGCGTCTTGACTACCGTGCTGATGAACAGGATCTCGAGCGCGAGTTCAGCCGCTACGGTCCCATCGAGCGTGTGAGTTTGCAAACCCCCCCTCCTATATCCTGATTACACAGCTATGTGTGTGTTAATTGACAAGAACTGACACCAAAAAAAAAAACAGATCCGTATCATCAGAGATACCCACGCCGATGAGAACCCAAACAAGAAGAAAAAGCCCCATCGTGGCTATGCTTTTGTCGTTTTCGAACGCGAAAAGGACATGAGAGGTAATGACCAGCCCCCCTTGACCCCCCCTCTTCTTGACATTCAACCAGCACACATAGACAAGGAAACGCCCGCTGTCGGTGCTTTCTCTAAGCCCACAACCAGGACTCGAATGGCCCTCAAGCTTGCCTGTCCTGCGGAAACTTTTTCGTCTTCCCTCTATCCATCCATCTTCCACGTCGTATACCTTGAAAGGTAGTATTGTTTCTTCATGGTAAGGCCTTACTGACACCTGCGCCTGTGGCGCATGCGCAATCCAGCTGCTCTAGATGGCTGTGATGGCGCCCGTATTAAGGATCGCCGCATCAAGGTCGATGTAGAGCGAGGCCGCACGGTCAAGGGATGGAAACCTCGTCGTCTCGGTGGCGGTCTTGGTGGTCGTGGCTACACCAAGGCAATGCCTGCTAGGCCCATGGGTCCCGGTGGATTTGGCGGCCCCGGTGGCTTCCGCGGTGGTGGTTTCGGTGGCGGATTTAGAGGACGCGACCGCGGCTTCAGGGGTGGTGGCGGCCCCGGCGGCGGCTTTGGAGGCGGTGACCGCTTCGGTGGACGTAGCGGTGGCGGCGGTTTTGGCGGCGGACGTGACGGCGGCCGTGGCTTCAGCGGCCCAGGTGGCAGCAGTTTCTCGCCTCCGTCGAATGCTCCCAATGGCCCCGGTGGTGGCTTCGGCGGCCGTGACCGTGACGGTCATCGTGACAGGGACCGCGATCGCGACAGCCGCAGGGACGGTCCTAGCGGAAGCAGCGGTGGGTACGGTGGGCGTGATGGCGGTCGCTCATATGATGACAGATCTGGCGGCGGAGGTTTCCGCGGCGGCGAACGCAACGCTCGGCAGACTGGCAGCAACATGGAGCCCATCAGGCCTAGAGAACCCGGAGCCCCAAGGGAATCCAGAGACGGTGGGTATCACGGTGGCCGCGACTACGACAGGCCCAGAGATCACGACGACTCATCCAGGAAACGCGGGTACGACGGCGGATACGAAGACCCCAGAAAGTTGCGGCGCTACTAGACATGATGGTTGCGAAACAGCATTGACAGACCTCCTAAGCAACAACAACATACTGGTCCGGTTTGTCTCGTGGTGGGTATCATCAGCCCCCTCTCACTGCTCTCAAGTTTCCACTCAGTATTATTCTTCCCTTTTCCTTCGACGATAAGGGTAAGCCACGATGATCACTTCTCATGTGTCATACTTGACTATGGACCGTGTCAACTATCCACGACCAGAAGAATAGTGGGAGGTATTCATATTCGAGACACTTGGTCGTCCAAAGCGGATGTGATTATCTTTTCCGGTGGCTAAGGTAACCGCGTCATAACGATTCAAAGAGCAATGGTTTGCATGCTCATCAGCCCAAGTCCGAATGGCAATCCGTCCGGCCTTCCGTTCAATCAGTCTATCAGTCACATCAGTCCAAAGACAACTGGAGGTCTAGAACTCCAGGTGGCACTGGTTAGAGATTTCGTCAACGCATACACGGTAGTGGCGCCCGTCGCATACAAACTCGGCAACTTAGGACAGTACACTCAAAAGCGTTTCGCCATTGTCTTTTCGGGAGTAACAAGACATCAATCAGCATCCGTTGCAGGAAGGTAAAATCGAGGTAAAAAGAACGAAAGCCAGTTGCTTTCCACGCTTTCGATCCTATGTCTTCTCGCATTTTTTTTCCTTTTTTCTTTCTCACTTGTATCATATCAAGTTTTTGTTTAGCCCGTGTACTGTTGAATCGAAACAAAGGAGTAAAAGCACGGGTGGGTAGGTAGGAAAAGAACCAAAATGACATTGTTAGCGTAAAAGGTATGAAGTTGGTAAGCGTTGTAGCTCTGGATTTCTGAACTGTAGCATCATCATGTTTGGCTCCCTGAGTCCCAACCATTTTGAGAAGTGGGCGGCGTACTTGCTGGGTGTAGACCGAGAGGGATGATCGAGGCACCTCTAGCATAACCCCGGAGCACAACTAGAAAACTTGTGCGTTTGTCAAACCTCGAGTAGGGGATGACAACTGACGGGTTTGGGAACTTGGTCGTGTCCTCTGAGTTTCGGACTGTGAATACCTACCTCTTGGTAGTCAATCCGGACCCTATGGGCACGAGTACTACACTAGTAGCCTCGATGTCTTTACTTTTTTGCTTTGCTCTCCCGACTTCATGAAAATTCAGGCCAGCCCCATCCATCACAGCTGATATTATCATCGATGGTCGCATTCGTAAGTATCCTGACGGGAGCTATTTCATCAGGATGTGAATATCAACATCAAGCTTGGAACTTGCACCAACCCCAATTCAAACCGAAAGGATGGAAGCCTTTGTGTACCAATCCCGATACCCACCACGCAAGTGAAAAAACGCCAGACCAGGTCTGTTCGAGCCAAGATACTCACAACCACCAAACTCTTTTCTTGTAGGAAGTAACAACCTATCAAGACGGGACCAACTATTTCCAGGACATTGCAAAGTCAAAAGAGGCCCGGGTCCTGAAAGTCGGTATGATACGTAGAGTAGGGTAGAAAAAAGAAGAAGGAGAGGGAAAAAAAAAAAAAAAATTACCTCCAAAAAGAGGAAGAAGTGTGTTTGATTTGATGGTTGTTACTCGGATACCGGGAGTCGAATCAACCCGGGGCTGGCTGTTGAGAAAGGCAGATACTTTCTTTCTTTCTTTCATTCTTTCTCAAATTTTTTTTGGGTTTTTCTTTCTTTTTCTTTCTTTTAAATTTTTTTTTTTCTTTTTTCTGTGAGGAGGTGTGAGGAGGTGTGAGGAGGAGGAAAGTGAGAGTCAACGACGATGTTACCGGTACAGCGTACCTGATTTTGGAGAAAGGGGAAGGGAACGGGGTTCCGGACTTCCTTGCATGTTGGCTTGTTGGAGGAGGGCGGGTGGGAGATGGAGTTATGAAATACTGTCAAATTCACCTCGCTGGTATGGAAGAAATCATTGGTCTTAGATTCTGATTTCATTTTAGCAGATCAAGTCGGCGAGGTGAAAGAAGAGCTTGCTGAAGAGCCAGTGAGGAAGAAGTATCGTCGATATTACCTACTCTGAACTCCATGTCACCAGATCCTGTGACACTCAATAATCACATATGGTCACCACTGAAGAACAAGTTGATTGTGTTCACAGCAGAAAGTGATTTATATAGCCCTTTTATTCCGCGAGCTTTTCAAATGCCTGTCCCTTTTCTCTCTAAAGACGCCTGGTGAAATACATAAACTGAGATGACCGGTTGTTTTATGTTCCCCAAAAGAAGAAGTTCCATACAAAGATGGTATCATCGTAAACCTTTCCCTATGTAAAAACACGGAAACAAGCCAAGTAGTAAAAAAACGAGAAATAATGACGTTTGCAAAAACCTTGACCGGTCCCCTCCCCCCTCCCTCTTGTTCCCTCGATGTTGCGTTGTTGTGTTGTGGAGGTTCCCTTCTCGCACGGCAGATTTTTTATATCATGGACCTTTCCAACCGCTTCACCAACTGCAACCACATACACACCGTCCCTCTTTTCAGGGTATCATTCATGAACACATCCCTTACTCGTCATCCTCCTCCATCTCCTCAGCACCAGCCTCACCAGGCTTCTCCAACTCGGTAACCTCCCCGCTCGCCGCGCTCCAGTACGCCAGCAGCTTGACGCGGAACTCGCTCAAGCAGATGCTGAACAGCTTCAGCAGCCTCGTCTGCCTGGAATCCAGCGTCTCGCCCTCCTTGCAGATAACGTAGTCGTCGCCCTCGCCGGCCTCGTCGCCCAGGCAGACCTTGCCCTTGACCATGCGGGTGGGCATGCCCAGGCGGCGGAGCTCGGGCTCGAGCGTGTGGGAGACGGGCACGTCGTGCTCGGCGGGGACCTCGCCACCGGTCGAGTACAAGGGACCGGAGGGGATGGTGATGGTTCGGGTGGCGACGGAGCCGGCGCGCGCAAAGTCGACTTGTGTCAGGTTGACGAAGTAGTCCTTGATTTCCGAGGGGTCGCGGTTGGTGAAGATGAGGCCGACGGAGCCGGACAGGTACTTGGAGAGCTTGTCGAGCCCGTCGGCTTGGGCGTCCTCGGGGGTGGTGCCGAGGGCGCGGGCGGTGAGCTTGGTCTTGCCGAAGAAGATGCTGTAGTACGGGAAGAAGAAGAAGTCTTTGGTTAGTGATTGCGACTGCGATTGCGATGGAATTCGGTTACTAGGGAGTAGGAAGAAGGTAGAAGATAACATACCGGCAGTCATTCAGCTCCTTTCTGACATCCTTGAGGTAGTTGTTGCGCATGTTATCGATGCTGAAGACGAAACAGTGCTGGTAGTTGGGGATGCATTCTCGGATGTTCTCAAAGAGCTTCTCCTTTTGTTCGCGGTTCTTCTTGGTGACCTGGGTGAGGTTGTACACCTTCGCTCTCTTGGACTTGGGCATCTTGACGGTATGTGTGGGTGGTTATGGATGTAAAGATTACAAGGGATGAAGCGCACAATAACAATGCCGATATAGAGACAGAACGGTGGCAAAGAAAAGAGGGTTGTTGGTGGTGTAGATGTTTTTGGTTATGACAACTACCCAAATGAATCAAGAGTGGAAGTGGAATGGAATCAGAATCACCAATTGATACGCAGGCGATTCAGACAGACGGGACGGGAGCCTCTGCCGTGCCGGCGGTGCTGTGGTGCAGTCGCCTATCGCTGACTTTTGTTTTTTTCTGCCGCGCGAAACTTTTGGGCGGTGAGCCATTGATAGGCTTTCCCCCACAATTGATTTTGGCAGGGCCCACCCAAATGGACTGCGGCCAGCCTACCCCACCCTGAACTGTGCAGCCAGCATCCCTGTTGTTGTGTTTCCCCTGATGTGTCGACGTTGTTTGGAGATTCGTTTTTGATCGTTTCCTCCCGACTTTTGACATTTTCTTAACTTCTTCTATCGATAATCACGATAGACATGAATTGAACTTAATTTGCTTTCGTTTTTCCATGTCGCCAACAAACAATCATAGGTCTAATGGAAACGCGCACCTCGATAGTCGACAACCCACCAGACTCATCCTCTGTTGTCCTTGGGCCTATGTAGTATAGCTCGTCTCATTTGCGCCTGTTGTCTTAGCTTGTACGCTTCGACATGGACAGCAAAGCCCTTCCTGACGGGGTCGACCTGGGAATCACCATATCGAAAGTTTTCAAACAAGTTCAGTGGATCCAGCTCACTGTATCCCCGCAAAATTGAACAGTGTTAAAACAGCGCGGTTCCGTTAGCCTTCGCCATGGGCTCACTTCCTCAGGTTTCACGAAGGATGACTCCCTCCCGTTTGTCTGACGGATATCCGGGAGAAGGTGTGAGATAATCTGGAGCAACCGGTATTGGCGTTTCGTCCCACGGCTTCTCCAGGCATTTACAACGACGGTCAGGCCGTTGAAGACAAGACACCCGGTGGTTGAGATCAAACGACACGCCCTTGTATACTAATGTCAACACGAAAAGAAGACGAGGTCCTCCTTTGATGCCAAGTGATGCTACCAAGGGCACCTGAATTCGTTGCGTGAGAAGATGAGGTGCTGTCGGGAACGCAACCGGCCAACTATCGATGGACATGATGATGTGTCGCCGTGTCATGTCAAGCCAAGTGTAGGGCTTAGTGCAAATCCGGGGAACGGGTTAAAACAACATAGGTACGTACCGACTTCGTTGGCACGCAGCTAATGAAAAGTGTCTTGGTTTGGGCGATAAGGTAAGACAGCAGCAGATAAACAAGCTCGCACTTGGTGCGCCAATCGGTCGTTTCCTCTCTCCCCCCAATCTTGACGGCGAGAGGTCTTTTTGATAGATTGGTGGGTTGCACGCCGTGTGAGCCCAGCCACGCGGCAACCGCAATTTGCCCAAGTATCCCTTACCGTAAGCCCCCCATTTCGACTGCCGGATCCTCACTTGTGTTGCGTGACTCATCCGCCGCGAATATGGAAACCTTTTACATATTCCAAGTGTTGTGTACCGGCGGTGGGGCTCAGATTAAAGTTCAAGTTGAACAGAGATTCGAGGCGCAGAACCATGTCAACAACCAGGTCCCCATGCCGGTGGCCTGGACCGTTTGGCCGATTGTTTGCTGGGCATGGAAAAGGCATCGGCCAGCAATGGGGGCCGAACACCGACGATCCAGCATACGGCAGCTTCTGGAATGTTTACAGCCAGCAGAGTATCGCTTATGATTGCCAGTCTTGGGTTGGCTTTGGCGGTTCGGCGAAATTGGTAGCGGGTCGCATGCGGTGAACTTGGATGACCGAGTCCGAACACGTAGTGTAGTCATACGCGGAACCTGGTTGCCTGGCGAGAAAGGCTTCGGTGATGATTGTGTTTCGGTGGTAGATCTGCAATTGTACTCCACCTAAGATGACAGCTGCATAAGCCGCCTTTTTCATCTTGAATCATACCTAGCTACACTGGAGCTACGCTACAGATTCAACCCTTCAAAATCTGTTAGTGCGAGACTAGCAACAGGCATGGGATATCGGCGGTTCTACTGGTTCAGAGCGAGCCAGATCTGGATTGAAGGTGCCCACAGAGCCACACCCCTCGTTCCCTAAATTCAGAGGAGCTCTTTGCATGTACCAACCTAACAGACTGTAACGGGGGCGAACTTCCCTTGCACAAGACGCTCAGCCAGAGGCAATGCCATGCGTGTGAGACAGAAGGCTTCGACACCGGAATAAGTGCAAAACGCACTGCGGGATGAACAATATGTTATGCAGCATCCGACCCCCTAGATAGTAGCCTCAACGCTAGATTAGATGAGGCATGGGGAAAGGATGGAATCCAGGGACCGGCAGCTCCACCCCGTCCAGCCAGGGGAAACTGGAGATACCTTAATGTTGTTGTTTAGAGCCGACGATTTTTTCTGTTACCTCGGGGATAGCCAGGCTTTATTCAGTGGGTCAGAGCCCCAAGGAAAGGGAGCCGATACGGGCCGTATAGAGAGAGACATGATTGGTGAAGCAGAGAGATGATGGAGGGCACTCAAGGTACCCATCGGTCGGTCGGGATCTTGACAGTGCCTATCGTCGGTTTGGGTTTGGTTGCTGTGCACACTAGTGTGTGTACCTAGCGCAGGTATTGCCCGTCCCACGAAACCGGGGGCTCTCGGACTCTTGTATGATACCGCAGTGTACAGTATCTCGGACGGGGAGGGTTGGGGGCACTTTCCTTTTGCGGCCTGGCCGTCCGCGTATGTAATCGATTCAACCAATTCAGGTTCCTTCGACTTGTCGCCGACAGCCAACAAGTGGTAATGATTACTTCTACCTGCTTCATCCCATCTCCTTGCCTGTTTTCTCTCCCTCCCCCTCTCTCTTATATAAGCCTTTATCCAGACACCGACGCTAGCCTCTCGAGGGTCCCAATCCTTGGCTTAAGTTCTGTCTTCCCTCCCTTCTCTTGATACATCGTGCCTCGTGGCTCCCCACCCCCACTTCACCTCGACAAAAAGTACGTACCAGGTACATCACCATCAAACGAAAGCTAGCCGAGTCGACAAGAGAGACGAGGCTTCAAAAGCATTCATCAACCACTCCTTACCAGCTCGTCCATCATATAGCCAAGCTCGCTTTACTTGGTCACTGCAGTTACTCCCCCGCAAAGCCCCGTCAAAATGGCGGCGGGTAGCCTTTCCGAAAAGGAGGGAGAACCTTCGGCCCTCCCCGTCTCCAGCCATGGCGGTTCCACCAAGGGGGATACCATCCACAAACCCGAGCCTCTTAGTCTCGAAAAGGCCGACACACAGGTCGTCTCGCCAAAGAAGTCGCTCGACGATGACCCCTACAAACACCTCCCCGAGAGGGAAGCCAAGATCCTCAAGGAGCAGGTCTTCACTCCCGACGTCAAGGTTGGCATTGCAACTCTCTACCGCTATGCCACGCGCAACGATCTGCTCATCATTGCTGTCTCGGCTATCTGCGCCATCGCTGCTGGTGCTGCCCTGCCGCTCATGACCGTCATCTTCGGTAACCTCCAGGGTACTTTCCAAAACTACTTCGCGGGGGTCACCACCTACGATGACTTCACCGACGAGTTGGCGCGCCTGGTCCTCTATTTTGTCTATCTGGCCATTGGCGAGTTCGTCACCATGTACATCACCACCGTCGGCTTCATCTACTCTGGAGAGCACATCAGTGGAAAGATTCGCGAGCACTACTTGGAGAGCTGCATGAGGCAGAACATTGGCTTCTTCGATAAGCTTGGCGCCGGCGAGGTCACCACGCGCATCACTGCCGACACCAACTTGATCCAGGAAGGCATTTCCGAAAAGGTCGGCTTGACGCTCCAGGCTCTTGCTACCTTCATTGCCGCCTTTGTCATTGGATTCGTCAGCTTCTGGAAGCTTACCCTCATCCTCTTGAGTACCGTTGTCGCCTTGACCCTTGTCATGGGCGGTGGTTCTCAGTTCATCATCAAGTTCTCCAAGCAGAATATCGCTGCTTACGCCGAAGGTGGCTCGGTTGCCGATGAAGTGATCAGCAGTGTTCGCAATGCTATTGCTTTTGGCACTCAGGACCGCCTGGCTCGTCGGTACGATGCTCATCTTACTCGCGCCGAGCACTTTGGCTTCAGACTCAAGGGTTCCATTGGTGTCATGGTTGCCGGCATGATGACGGTGCTGTATCTGAACTATGGCTTGGCCTTCTGGCAGGGTTCCCGCTTCCTTCTCAGCGGCGACACCGAGCTCCGCAAGATCCTGACTGTTATGATGAGTGTGATGATAGGAGCTTTCAACCTCGGTAACATTGCCCCGAACCTGCAGGCTTTTGTCACCGCCTTGGGTGCTGCTGCTAAGATCTACAACACCATCGACCGTGAGTCTCCCATCGACTCCTCCAGCGAAGAGGGTGGCAAGCTCGAGAATGTCGTCGGTACCATCCGTTTGGAGAACATCAAGCATATCTACCCCTCCCGTCCTGATGTTGTTGTCATGGAGGACGTCAGCCTCGTTATCCCTGCTGGCAAGACCACTGCCCTTGTCGGAGCTTCGGGCAGTGGCAAGTCAACCATCGTTGGGTTGGTCGAAAGGTTCTATAAGCCCATTGAAGGAAAGGTTTACCTCGATGATGTCGATATTTCAACCCTCAATGTGCGTTGGTTGCGCCAGCAAATCGCCCTTGTGTCCCAGGAACCGACCCTCTTCGCTTGCACTATTTATGACAACATTCGCCATGGCTTGATCGGTACCAAGTGGGAGTCTGAGTCCGAGGAGCAGCAGCGCGAGCGTATCTACGAGGCTGCCCGAAAAGCCAACGCGCACGACTTTATCACCAGTCTTCCCGAGGGTTATGAGACCAATGTTGGCGAGCGTGGCTTCCTGCTCAGTGGTGGCCAGAAACAGCGTATTGCTATTGCCCGTGCTATTGTATCCGACCCCAAGATCCTGTTGCTCGATGAGGCCACTTCTGCTCTCGACACCAAGAGTGAAGGCGTCGTCCAGGCCGCTCTCGAAGTTGCCGCTGAAGGTCGCACTACTATCACGATCGCCCACCGCCTGTCTACCATCAAGGATGCCCACAATATCGTTGTCATGGCCCAGGGACGCATCGTCGAACAGGGCACCCACGCTGAATTGCTCGCGAAGCGCGGCGCTTACTACAAGCTCGTCACTGCCCAGGCTATTGCAGCTGTCAATGAGATGACGGCTGAAGAAGAGGCGGCGCTTGATCAGGAAGAGGAAGCGGCTCTTATCCGCAAGGCGACCCGGAACAGCCAAAAGGAAGGAGGAGCTGCCGGCTATGTGGAGGATCCCGAAGATAACATCGCCGAAAAGTTGGACCGTAGCAAGTCGCAACAGAGCGTCAGTTCCGTTGCTATTGCCGCACGCAAGAAGGAAGAGCCCAAGGAGTACGGCCTGTGGACACTCATCAAGCTTATTGCTAGCTTCAACAAGAAGGAGTGGCACATGATGCTCGTCGGTATCTTCTTCTCGGCCATCTGCGGTGCTGGTAACCCTACTCAGGCTGTCTTCTTTGCCAAGCTCATCAGCTCTCTGTAAGTTGCTGTCTCCCATCTGTTTCTTTTGGCAAAATCACTAACCGGTCATAGGTCTCGCCCCATTGTCAACGAAGAAATTAGAGCCTCCATCAAGTCGGATGCCTCCTTCTGGTGTCTGATGTACCTCATGCTTGCTCTTGTGCAGTGCCTCGCCTTCTCCGTCCAGGGCTGGCTCTTTGCCAAGTGCAGCGAGCGTTTGATCCACAGAGTTCGCGACATGGCTTTCCGCTCCTTCCTTCGCCAGGATGTCGAGTTCTTTGACCGGGATGAAAACTCGGCGGGTGCGCTCACTTCGTTCCTAAGCACCGAAACCACGCACGTTGCCGGTCTGTCTGGTGTCACCCTCGGTACAATCATCATGGTCCTAACTACGCTCATTGCCGCTTGCACTGTCGCTTTGGCCTTGGGCTGGAAGCTTGCCCTTGTGTGCATTGCCACCATCCCCATCCTTCTCGGCTGTGGCTTCTATCGCTTCTGGATGATTGCTCACTATCAGCGCCGCGCCAAGAGCGCTTATGCTGGATCTGCCAGCTACGCTTCCGAGGCCATCACTGCCATGCGTACTGTCGCTTCCTTGACTCGGGAGCAGGACGTTCTTCAGCATTACAAAGACTCTCTGGCCAAGCAACAGCATGCCAGCTTGATCTCGGTTCTCAAGTCCAGTCTTCTCTTTGCTGCTTCCAACTCTCTCATGTTCCTTGCTTTTGCCTTGGGTTTCTGGTACGGTGGTACTTTGATTGCCAAGCACGAGTACGACATGTTCACCTTCTTCATTGTGTTCTCGTCGGTTATTTTTGGCGCCCAGTCTGCCGGTTCCGTCTTCAGCTTTGCGCCCGATATGGGTAAGGCCACCGAGGCCGCTCGTGACCTCAAGGAGCTCTTTGACCGCAAGCCGACTGTCGATACCTGGTCAAACGAAGGTGACTCGATCAAGCAGGTTGATGGTACCATTGAGTTCCGCGATGTTCATTTCCGCTACCCGACTAGGCCGGAGCAACCCGTCCTCCGTGGTCTCAACCTGTCCATCCAGCCTGGTCAATATGTCGCTCTTGTAGGAGCTTCTGGATGCGGCAAGTCCACGACCATTGCCCTTTTGGAGAGGTTCTATGACCCTCTTAGCGGTGGCATCTTTATCGACGGACGCGAAATCAGCAGCCTCAACGTCAACGAATACCGCAGCTTCATTGCCCTCGTCTCACAGGAACCGACTTTGTACCAGGGTACCGTCCGCGAGAACATCATCCTCGGAGCCAACAACGACGTGACGGACGAGCAGATCAAGTTCGCCTGCCAGGAAGCCAACATTTACGACTTTATCATGTCTCTCCCCGATGGCATGAACACTTTGGTCGGTTCCAAGGGTGCATTGCTCTCGGGTGGCCAGAAGCAGCGTATCGCTATCGCCCGCGCGCTGATCCGCGATCCCAAGATTCTGTTGCTCGATGAGGCGACGTCGGCTCTGGATTCTGAGTCGGAGCATGTTGTGCAGGCGGCGTTGGATAAGGCTGCCAAGGGTAGAACTACCATTGCGGTTGCGCATCGTCTCAGCACGATTCAGAAGGCGGACATCATCTATGTGTTTGACCAGGGCAGGATTGTTGAGCAGGGAACGCATTCGGAGTTGATGAAGAAGAATGGCAGGTATGCAGAGTTGGTTAACCTGCAGAGTCTGGAGAAGCATTAAGCGGGGATGAAGACCAAAAAGTTGAAAAGTTTATTTTTTCTTTGCATTTGGCAAGGCGTTATATTAGAGGGATAATCTCACCACTCTGTTGTGGAAGATGCTGAATTTGGTCATTCGAATTTTTATACATGGCAAGAATGAGGTTAGTTGGGATATATCAGAGCTGAACAATATCTTCAGCGATGGGAGACACGACTGGCGGATTGTTGCACATGTTAGACGATACCACTGTATGTACGTACGTATTATTAATGGCTAGTATGGTTGATGGATGAGGGGGATGTTGAAAAGGAATAGACACCACTCACATTATATCAACATCTTTTGGTGTTACAATAACACACGAAGCCTGTATTTGAGTAAGTGATGCCAAAGATGCCTGTGAATGTCTCCGAATCCCATGTCACAAGTATTAACACCTGATCATACATTTACCAGCGAAAACTGTTATAAGCACTCGTGATTGCCACCACCATCTCCCTAAGAGCGGGGCTAGTTCCCCCCTTAGTGTAGACCTGTCACTTTAGCGCTGTGGGACCCGCCCAGTAGCCGCCATTACCGCCACTTTGGGTCGCTTTGCTCCACCCACTGTCACTGAGGAGGGGTCACCAGGGGCCGCCCGCGGGGGCAACGTCATGGGGTTTCTTTCGTCTTTCCATTCCCTTCCCGCTTTCCATCGGTTCCTTTTCGTTACTTAAGTCGCCATTGTGAGTCTAGACTTGTTCGTTTTACACACAGCCTCATTCACGAACGGGGTGGACAAGTGTCCTTTTGTAACGGTGGTGGTATTGTATGGTGCTGCACTCGAACGGATTTCAGCCGATTCATATGCAAGTCCGGGTGTGACTTGAGACGCTCAGACCCTTGCTCGCATCCATCACTTCATATTTGACTGGACGACATTCTCCCTCTTACATCTTCCTCGCAGCATCGCCTACATATACGTACATACATACATACATACATATATTGTCCCCTACCTACCTAAACTTGACATCAGCCCCAGGCTGGACTGGCTGGGCATCAACGGGTTTTTGTCATTCTTCCTCTTCGTTTATCGAGCACCAACAAAAAAACTCCGGCAGCTCGACACTCGACACATTCTTACAGTATCCGAGTCACACCATTCTCGCCTGCTGTGTATATACCTATTTACCACTACGATTTCGCTCGACGTTTATTAAACGATCACTCTTCGCGCTCGTCAAATCTGGACTGGACTAGAAAACCCGACAACATCGATAGTATCAACAGCGTCGAGGGATCAACCGAACGGAACCAACTGAAACGAAGTAAAACATAATAACAACGATGCGCCTCCTCAATCCATCATCATCATCGCTGGGAGTAGCAGCGCTCCTCTTTTCATCTTCGCTACCCAACGGTCTCAGCGGTGCGGAAGCAGCAAAGTCTGGCAAAGCTAAGGATGCGGTTTTGCTTTCTAATGTATGTCTTTTCCTTCCTTTTCCCCCTTCCCTTCTTCCCCTTTTCCCCTTCCCCTCTCCCTCTCCCTCTTTTTCCCCTCTTCCCATTCCCATCCCCATCCTCATCCCCATCCCCAGTACCAAAAAAGCTAACGAACCTAGATCCGCTCCCTGACCCTCCTTCCCAACTCCAAAACCACCGGCCGCCGCCTCCCCCCCATCCCCCAGTTAACATGCACCTCCTCCCGCACCCTCTGCGCCCTCGCCTCCCCGCACATCTCCCTCATGCGCTGCACCAACCAAGGCCCCCGCTACGACAAAGAAGACATCCAATGGTCTTGCACCGTTCCTTCGCTTCCCACTACTCTCCAGCTGGGGTCGACGGACGTGATTTGCGAAGGGTACGATTCGCCTGACGACGAGTATGTCTTGAAGGGTAGTTGTGGAGTTGAGTATACTTTGGCGTTGACGGAGGAGGGGAGGAGGAAGTATGGACGTGGGGGATGGGAAGAAGGGGAAGAAGGGGAGAATAAGTGGGCGGGGTATTTGTTTGGGGTGTTGTTTGTGGGTGTGTTGGGGTGGATCGTGTATAGTGCTTGTGTGCAGGCTGGGGTGAATCGAGGCGTTCCTGGGGCGGAGGGACAGAGGAGAGGGTGGGGAGGGGGAGGAGGTGGTGGTGGTTGGCCTGGGTTTGGTGGCGGAGGTGGAGGAGGGGATTGGAATGATCCGCCGCCACCGTATCCTGGATATGGCAACAAGCCGAGTGGAAGCCAGCAGCAATCGGGACAGCGACAACAGCAAGGATGGAGACCGGGGTTCTGGTCGGGACTAGCGGGTGGTGCGGCGGCTGGGTATCTAGCTGGACAGAGAGGGAGGGGGAGAGAAGAGTATGATGATCGCAATAGGGGGTATAACTACGGAAGCACATGGGGCTCGTCGTCGGGGTCGAGGAACAGGAGTTGGGGATCGTCTTCGTCACGGAGCTATTCGGGTGGGGATAATGGCGGCAGTTCGGGGACGACGACCCATGAAAGCACCGGGTTCGGATCGACGAGTCGCCGCTAAACATAAAATAGGGCTTGGGTGGAAGAGCCATAATACTGTATTCACATACAGACGCAACAAACCAGATACATACACGATGCAGAAAGGGTATCGACATAGTGTTTGCGCGAGCGTATAATGATTCTTTGGAAATTATACAAAGGCTTGCTCTGAAAAACAAATCAGAGTTTAAATGGCTTTCATCTCCCGTTTCCATTCCATCCCATTCCATCCCATCCCATTCCGTATCACAGACGCTATTCCCGTCATGTTCATGCTCCCATAGTGTTGTTGTACATCAAAGCAATTGGATGCTGATCGCTACCCCCCCTAAGACGCCGATAAAACCTTGTATTGGATGTACTTCTTTCCTTCTATTCCAGTACCTAACATGACATACCCATTCGTTCCAAGATGGCTTAGATCCTTGGTCGAGGCGAGGGAGCTGGCTGTAAATGGATGGGTTTTGGGGACGTCGCCAAGGGTCCACCAGCCTCATGTTGCGAACGCAGCCCATGTCGTTCGAGTTCCTCCTATCCGAACTTTGTCATTGAACCCATCTCTGAACGTTTCTCTCGACAGAAACCGGTTGTAAAGATAATATCATCCCAGATTCTTGGGCCTCATATAGACTTTTCCGTCGTAGTTTTCGAATAAAGCGTACCGATCGATAATGGCTTGGTAATACTCCAAAAATCTCACATTGTCAAATATACCTTCCTCCTCTTAACGTTGCCGTTTCCGGAGCCATTTGCTGACCCTTCTCTGCCGAACCCCTCCCACCAAATCATCCCATTACAAATGAGCAGGCATGGCGTCAGATCGATCGAACGCCTTGTTGCAGCTTGGGCATTTTCGCATCCGGTTCGCCAGTCGGTTGTCGACACACTCGTTGCAGAAGACATGCCCACATCCCTTGAGTATCGTGTTCTTGAAGTTGCTTCTGCATACGGAACAAAGGACCAAGTTCTAGAGAAGTGGCAGGTTAGTCTATAAATCCAGATCCGAACTCTGTCCAAATCCCTACTTACCCTCAGCATTTCCTCCTCCTCAGTCGAGTTGGACTGGCACTTCGTCTTCCATTTGTCGCGTTCCGAGCTGACTTTATCGAGGCGCACCTTGAGCTTCTCCGCCTCCTGCTCCTTGTCCATTGCCTTCTCCTTCAGTTCCCTGCCTGCCGTGTCCTTGGATTTCACAAGATTTTGCAGGTTTTCAATCTGCGACTTTACCGAATCTGCCCGCCGAGTGGCCTCGGAACTCAAGGATTCCAGCTTCTTGCTCTCCGTCACAATAGTTATGTTGGACTGCTTCAGATCCGCAATCTGCTTCTCCAAAGTGGTGATGAGTGCTCGGTGCTGTGTCTCGACATCCTTAAGCTGGGAAATGATCTCGGAGCTCTTGCTGTTCTGTCCGCGCAATGTCCGTATCTCGGCTATCCGAATGTCCATGTCTTTGCGCGCGGCAAAGTACTTCTGGTCTGCTTTGCTCTTTTCGGCTGTGAGAATAGCAACCCGCTCCTCCAGAGCAGTGAAATCCATCACCTTCTTATGGGCAATACCCATAGCCTTCCTGTATGACTTCTCGAGTGCTGGAAGCTCCTTGTTGATCGCCTCGTAATCCCGCTCCAACTTGGCGAACTTCTCACGGAGCTCTTCAGCCGAGAGAGTGCTTAAATCCTCCGACGGGGCGGCCTTGGCTGCATCTTCCGTTGGTCTTAGCCTCTCAAGTTCGGATTCTAGTTGAGTTATCCGATCCGTCATGGCCTCAACAAGCTCATTCAGGTGAGCGGATGCTGTCTTTTCCTGTTCCTGGCTTGCCTTGCGCATTGCAAGTTCAGCAAGAAGCTCATCCCTTGCGGAGCGGATCCTAGTGAGATCCTGGTCTTTTTGTTGTATCTGGTCCTCCAGATCTGACGTGAGAGCCTGGGCTTCTTGTTCCAGGGTGGCACGGTACGATGTTCGTTCGGCCCGCAGCTTCTCGGCGTCTTCCCGGAACTGCTTGTTGACGGCCTCCAGGTTGTTGATGCGCTTGATGAGATCCTCGTTTTGAGCCTTGAACTGCTTGAATACGTCGGTCCGGGCATAATCTTCCTCGGAAATGCCCTCCTTCTTGATCTTGAAACTGGCATTTTCTTCTTGTAAGGTCTTGATTTCGGCAAGAAGAGACTCAATCTGTTCTTTTTGCTTGTTGGCCACGGCAATGGCTTCCTTGTATTTAGTCTTGTACTCGGCGCCGTCGCCGTTTTCCGCGATTGAACCTGTGCCATTTTCGTCATTTGTGGTTTGTCGCGTTGTCGAGTTGGCCAGTGCCTGCTGTTCCAATTTTTGGACTTGGGCACTTCTAACTCTATCGAGCTTCCGTTCCGCCTTGATCACCTTGAGAGTCGCGGTATCATACTGTTCGGAGAGCGTCGCATTTTCGGCCTGGAGTCTGTCGATTTTCACTGCTAGTTCCTTTTGATTTGCCAGTAAAGACTTCACCTGTGCTTCCAATTGCGCCACATCGGGCTTGACCTCGCCCCGGGAACTGGCGAGCTTGTTGAGTAGCGACTCGACCTTGAGAATGACGGGTTTCTTGATGTCGTCCAAATGTTGGCGGAATTCCTTGCTGTCCTTAAAGGCGAGGCTCGATACCCAATTGGAGTCTACGGGCTTGAGGGCTATGGATTTGAGTGACCCTTCGACAATCAACTCTAGCTCTTGAGTCAACTGGGGGGTTGTCAGCGCGCTTTGTCGTGTGGAGATATGAGTGGGGCCGAGACATACCTGCGATAGCCAGTACTTGATAACCCGCAAATGATCATCGTGAAAAGCCGCGCTTTTCTCGGCTTCTTGTAGACGGTGTTCTAGGTCGACCTTTGACCGCTTGTACTCGAGCATCTGCCGGTAAATGGCACCTTTTTGATATTCCTGCGCATTGTAACCAGTCAGCCAAGCCGTCGCCTCCAAGCCCGTGAAAGGAGATTCATGTACACCGTGGGCGAGTTAAGGAGCGTGGTATTTGGGAGTAGGCAGGGTCAAGGCATTGCATGATGAAGAGAGAATCCTGGGAGCCGGGCGTGCTGTTGCCAGCAAGCCGCGCATTAGCAAGGGTCGAGGAGAGTACCCCAACAAAAACATCGCGGTGAGGGTCATCAGGAGGTTGGCCGACACGTAAGATGCTATCTAAAGCGGACGCGACTGCGGTGGATGGCAGGCGGCGTCGAGGGGCTGACAGGATAGAACACGCTGGATGGCGTGGAGGATGTGAGGGGCTAGGCTTGGATGTGATGATACGGAGACGGGCGAGAAAGGAGGGGGTGGGTGGGTGTGAAGCGGTAGCCGACAATGTGTGGAACTTACCTCAATCCAAGCCTCTTCCCTTGAATCGTTGGAGTCGTCCTTGGACTTGCTGGTGCCGTTGACAGCCTGTCGCTTGCTAGGAGGGGCAACATCGTCCGCGTTGGCGGCGGGTCTCTTCCTGTCCTCCATCTTGACGGTGGTAGGACGAGGCACAGCGGAGGGAGAGGTGGCAACCGGCATGAGGTGAGGCGCTGGAGGGAGCGGACCGGGGACTCAGTTGTCGGCGCGGGCGGCGAAGGGCGAGAGCGCGCGAGCGAAGAAGGCCAGAAGCCAAGTAGCAGCGGGCAGAAGAAAAGAGGCTGTAAGGAAAAGCGCGGTCGGCAATGGAGAGCAAGGACGGAAGGCGAGAGCAGCCAGCCGGGCGTGCGTGCGTGCGTGTGTGCGATGAAAGACGTGGTGGTCGTTGTAATGGTTGACCTCTCTTACCGCCACTGCATACGGGGGTGTGGATGACTCGTTCTCCGTCGTCGATGAGGGCGTCAACGGATGCGGAGGGGCTGTCGGCGACGACGATGTGATGGGTGGGTGGTGAAGTTGGACAGACCCGGTGCGCAGACTTGGTGGAAAAAAGACAGTCACGGCTCGCTGCCAAAAAGGAGCGTGCGGGTTCCAGTCTTGAACAAAGTGTCGGAGGATGGAAAGGGTGGAAAGGACGGAGCAGCACCTGAGGCAGGTCGAAGAACGTGACTGGAGAGCCGAGCCGGACGGGCTCCAGTTTGACCCAGCCTAGATAGTGTACTTGGAGAGAACTTGAGAGGGACCAGCGCAGCAAGCCGCAACGGACAGGCCGCCGAGGTGTCGAGGTTAGGTATTAATTGAATACAATGGATGAATTGCTGTGCTGTTCTCTGCTCTCTAGGTCACTTTGTTAGTCCCGTGTGTCTTCCATCTGTTTGTCTGTGACGAGGAAGGGCGGAAGCGGGCAACGGCCTGGAGGAGGAATCACAACTGCAACCTTTCCACATTCTCAACACCTTCCTTCCTTCGCTCATCGGCCAGAAAAGTGGGTCTTTGAACGGGAGCGCAAAGATCGATGGACTCGCGGCGAACCCGCCAGACCGACAGAATCCACTCTCTCGTCGCCCTTTGGATGCGTCACGCTAAGCCTCTTTCAGCCTTCGGTTACTTTGGATTCCTCCAATGCCACTGTTTGGTACCAGGAGCCAGTGGCCCAGTGCACCACCACCGGCCGGGACTGGATCCTAACCACCCACCCCGCCCATCTTTTTTCCCATCACCACTTTATCAGTCAACAATCAATTGACCGGGCAACTTTGCGCGCGTCTTTCTTACAATCGCTTGTGCAGCAATTGACTCCCTTGGCCTCGCGCTATCTTCGATCTTCAAACCTCACGGTTGTCTGGACACACACCAAGCCAATTCGCTACCCGTCAGAACAAAGTCGCATCGCTTGAGGCTCATCATACCTAACCCTACCATAGTCTTTGTTTATCGTCGGCAGCCTTGTGTGGGCCATGCTCACCAAAACATCGACGTCTCCCTTTTTCTAATTCACAGCTGCTAGTTCGTTTCCGGTAGTCGCCGACTAGACTCCAGATGCTCAAGAAACCGGGCTTCGGCCCCAAGGTCAAACCCAAGGTGGTTGCTCGTCGCAACGCGCCTCCTTCAGCAAAATCCACCGATTCAACTCCCGCCCCGACCGAGTCAACAACCTCACAACCTACCACAGCTGCCGCCACTCCCACAGCCGAGTCCGGTCCCTCGACCCGTCAGGTGTCGCCGGCTTCAGCTTCAGCTCAGCCTACACCCCCTGCAACTCTCCCAAGCGATACGGCCCCCGAGAAGGAGTCTTCGAGTGTTGCCAAACCAGTTTCCAAAGATGCCGCTCCAACGGACAAGCAAGCACAACCTGCCACCATCTCAGCTACAGCTTCTGTTCCAGCTCCGGCGCCAACTCCAGCCCCTACCGCAACGGCGAGTACCCCCGTGGAAAAGCCAGTAGAAAAACCAGTTGAGAAGCCAGCCGAGAAACCGACAAGCGAAAAGAGTTCGAATGCGACGACCGCGACCGAGAATCCGAAAGCAGCGGCACCAAGACAGACACCTTCCAAAGCCAGGGGTACACCGGCGGCGGTCATTACCCCGACCATCATCGAAATCACAAGGCCCAGAGGCAGAAGCTCCGTGGCGACATCAGAAATCATAGCACAATCTCCGTCCAGAGCTACACGCCCGACACCCGCGGCCGATCCTTCAAGTACCACGTCCTCGGCCACCCCCAGTGGAACCTCGTCTACAGAGGCAGCTTCAACGCGTTCTAGCACAGAGACTACACAGCCGGTTACCCAGTCCGAGAGCTCTGCTGAGAGTCGAGCAGAGTCAAGTGCCGAGGCAACGGCCGCACCAACCACCAAAACTACCAAGAAGGCGCCCGTACCAAGGGCTCCACGGGCTCCTCGAAAGCGCAAGGCGGACGCAACAGTCGATGAAGCGGGCAATGATGAAGCCGTAGCCGAAGCCGAAGCGGCAGCACCACCTCCCACGAAGCGAACGCGGACAACAAAGAAAGCAGCGGCTGAGCCGAGTGCCGATGGAGAGGAAGTGGCTGAAGCCGAAGGTGAAGCCGCAGTACCAGCTCCCAGGAAGCGAGCTCCTCGAAAACGTAAGACGGATGCAACAACAGGCGAAGGCGAAGCGGATAAGGATGAAGCCGAAGGTGCATCAGCAGCAGCAGCAGCAGTAGCTCCTAAGAAGCGCGCACGGACAAGGAAATCAGCAGCCGAGCCGAGCGTCGAGGGAGAAGACGACCAGGAAGCAGCACCCAAGCCGAAGCGGGTGCGGAAGCCAAGAAAGCCCAGGACAGAGTCGAACAACATCGATCCAGCTCTCCTGGGCGATGAGGAGCAAAATGAAGAAGCTCAAGCCAACACCAAGAAGGGCAGGCAACAGCGCGAAGCTACCCCCGAAAATGCCGAGCAAGTGCAGATCGACCGCACCCAGCTAACCATGGCCGAGCTGGCCAAGGACCTGCACATCGGCAAGAAATTCAGTCTACACGACGAGCTCGCCGAGCGCGAGCGCGCCAAACGACAGAAATACTACGAAAAGCGCAAGAAGCAAAAGCGCGGCGAGACCGCTGACGGTGACGGCGATAATCCCGACGGCGGCGCCAGCGGCGAACAATCCGCCTCCGGCACCCCCGCTCCCGGCGGAACCTCTGCTACCAACCCTGCTGCGTCCTCCCGGCCCGCTGCCGCCGCCGCCATCGACGAGCCCCCCCTAGTCGACTCGTCCGTCGGCGCCGTCGGCGAGCAATATATCATGATCGACGGCGAAATCCGCCTCAACGAGCGCTCGCTCCAAGTCGACCGCCACGCAGCCGTCGACCAAGCCAACTACGAAGTGCAAGAAGAAAACGACTTTACCCACTTAACCACATCAGCCACCTACCTGCGCCGCAACATGAAACCGGGCCAATGGAGTGACGAAGAAACCGACAAGTTTTACTCGGCTTTAACCATGTTCGGCACCGATTTCGAAACCATTGCTCGCCTCTTCAAGGACAAGACGCGCAAGCACATCAAGTTAAAATTCAACCGCGAGGAGCGCGCCGATCCGGACAGGATCCAAAAGGCGCTGGTGGGCGAGAGAACGGTCATGATTGACATTGAGCAGTACCAGCGCGACACGGGGCAGGAGTTTGAGACGGCCGAGAAGATTTATGAGGAGCAAAGAAAGGCCGAGGAGGAGTTTGAGGCGCGGCAAAAGGCGATTGAGGATGCCAAAGCCGAGGAGGAGCGGAAGAAGGCCGAGTTGCTGTTTGGGAAGGATGGACAGGGTGGGGTGGCGGGGGGCAAGAAGAGGAGGGGGAAGAAGGCGAGGCCGGAACCAACTTGGTAGATGGATTAAGTTGAGTTGGTGAGGTGTTGTGCAAGATTAGAGATGAGTTGTGCAAGTCTGGTGTTACAAGGGAATAGGGGGGATACAGGTGTCTATCGAACGAAGAGACTTTGATTGCTTGAGAGAAACGGACAGGAACAAATGACAAAGTCATGGGATAGGTGTGGCACGGAAACAAAAGGCTTTACCATCAGGGAACAAATAGGTTTTATATACCCATCAACCGGAGGGCACTTGGTTAGGTATGGAACATGGAAGGGAAAAACAAATGGAGACAAAAAAAGGGTTATTGATCATACTATGTGCGGACGGTTTCATGGTCTCAAATCTTGTCTTCGCTTTCATTGCTGGTTATGGTTCGTGATGGGAAGGCTTCGTTCACTCTTCAAGGGACAGGACTATTACAGAGTACATAAAGAATAGAGTGATTCGTAAGCTGTGAACACACCACACCTCTGTGGCTATCCATTGATCTAGGTCTACGCGAAGCATGTTTTTCCATTTCATCACTCCACTTACTGTTGATGCTTTCTTACTAAAACTGGTCGAAACCTGTCGCGCATTGGAGAGATCAGACACACAAAGCCCACCCGTGTATTGCATGTGAACGTTGATCAGCAGTGTTGAGCATTTTGAGCTCCCTAAGGTATAATGTCATCATAAAGTCTCCAATGCATCCTAAGCAAGCCCAAACCATCCAGCCGTCGCCCACGTTTCAAATGCAAAGGCAGCTGCTAACGAAAATCCACCCTGCCAACGACTTTTAACGCCCAGTTACGAAAAACCCAAGATATCTCATTCCAGCCTACAGCCTCACCCCCTATCTATTGTTGGGGCATGTCGTCATCTTCCTCCGGTCCTTGATCGAAAAGGAAGTTGGCGGCAAGCTCCTCATCCTTGTCGCAAGCGAAGTAGGCCTGGATGGCCTGGTCCTGGGGAAAGCCCAGGCGGGTGAGACGCTCAATGGCATCGCGTTCCTCCTCTGTGACAGCAATACCGACAGAGCCACCCTCACCGCCCTCGCCAAGGAGGTTCAAAAACTGATCCGAGTTCTGGGCAATCATCTGGGCAAGTTGAGGGTTGCCGGCACCGAGCTGTTGCAAAATAGGCTCCAGCATCTGGGGCTGCTCCTGTACAAGCTGGCGCATTTGCTGGAATTGTGCGTTGTTGCGGAGGAAGTCGAGGTTACCTAAACCAGCGGCCTCAGCACCAGCACCCTCCGCACCACGAGCACCACGTCCGCCAGCGCTGTTGCCGAGCTGAGCGGCAAGGTCGAAAAGGTTGACTTGATCGTCATCGTCACCGCCAGCAGCAGCGGGGGAAGCCGCCTGAGCGGCAGCAGCAGGGGCAGCAGCCGGAGCGGCAGAAGGCTGACGAGAGGCAGTTTGTTGCTGGAGGTTGGCGGGAATACCCTAAAGCTGTGTCAGTAAACCAGATATAGAACAGAAAATGGAATGAGTTGTGAAACGTACGTTCAAGAGATACTCCACAGCGCGCTCGGGGTTGAAAAAGGCGGCACGCATAGCAGCGTCAATCTGCGAACGCTCGAAACCCATAGCCTCCATGTTGGCAATGGCCTCGGCGCGCTGCTCGCCCATGGCAAGGGCGTTGGCATCGCGAGTACCGGCAGCTGGGGCCGCCTCAGGAGCCGCGGCGGTTCTAGCGGGCGTCGGCGTCGAAGGAGCAGCGGCAGCAGCGCTGGAGGCCGCAGGAGCGGCGGGGGGAGCAGGTGTCGAGGCCGGGGCGGCGGCAGCGGGGGTAGCGGGGGCGGCGGCAGACGACGACGACTCGGCTGGCTTGGGGGCAGTGGTCTTGGGCTGCGAAAAAATGTCAGCTTTATCTTTGTACGAGGACGTGAGTAATAACGGGGTTATTAGTACCTTGTTCACGACGCAGACAACGAAGCCCTTCTCCTCGATCTTGTACGACTCAACGGTCTCCTCATCCTTCAAGATCTTGCCTGTTGGGGCAAAGTCAGTATTCGGGAGCGGTATCCATCGTTTGAGAAGCAAGCGGTGCTTACCGGAGTAGATAAGCTTCTGCAGCTCGGGAGCCCAGCCCCTCTCCTCGGAGATCTTCTGCTTGACCTTGGAAATCTGCAACTGGTTAGCTTCTAGCTCGCCAGCATCATACACGTCTCCCGAAGCGACATGGGAGGCTCGCGACGCCGACTGAGCATTCGATTGTTGAGGGCTGTCACGGCGTGTTGGATGTCTCCATGACGTCGGCCTGAGGTAAAGGGTGTAAGGAAATGGGAGGCGACGAAGGGTAACCAACAGTCTCGGTGGGCTCGATCTCGAGCGTGAACTTTTGTTGTTTGAGGTCCTAGATGGACGAACAGTCATTGTTAGTATTTGATTATATAGACTTTGAGAGCTTATGGACAGAGGGAGCGAGCTCTGATCCAACCAGGCAGACAGGATCCAAAGAAGACGCTGGGTTGTTTCCAAATTTGCTGAGAAGCTATCGCGGTACGTCTGGCTCGTTGTCTGCCTAGCTGGCTGGCTACGTCAAACACTCGACATGGGCAAGCTTATGGGCACGTACCTTGAAAGTAACCTTCATGACGGGCAATCTGTGACGCAGCTAAACGGCTGCTACGTTGACAATGAGAGTCTGATGATGTAAGTAAAGTCTGTCCGGACGGGCGAGCTTCGTTGGGATCCGAGTCGCGATGGGAGACAGCAAGATTTGTTGCAGTCGGCGGAGTTGGGCGAGGACGAAGAAAAAGTGGAAGTGGTTGGTGGTTGCTGTGGTAAGGTTGAGATGGCGAGGTGGCATACAGGGGAGGAGGTAGTTGTAATCGCTGTGGCAAGAAATAGGTAGGTAGCAGAAAGCTTGAACGTTTTACAGCGGCTTGTGATGACTGATGGGGCCGCTTTGAGGCGGAGAATTTGGGGTTTTGTTCGCTTCACCTGCACTGAGTGAATGGAAGAGGGGCACTGCAGCAGGCGGGCAGCCAGGTTCACCGTCGCAGCCAGTGGTGTGCTACGGCAGTGAATGGATGGGGGGAAGCGGCAGGCAAAGTGGGCAGGCACAAGGCAGCGGCATTGTTAGGCGGGGGGCTGCGCGGCATCTTGCCGCCTGGAGCTGGTGGAGAGGTCACAGTCGTCACACTGCCATCCGTCTGTACACACACACACACATCTTGGAGATTGATTCCATCCATTCACTTTCCAGGTTGTGTTGGCCTTTTTGCGTTGAAAAACATGAAATTGTTCTTTATCAGTCCGGCTTTTGAATGTCACTGCTTACCACATGTTTCCGTTGGCAAAGGTGATGCCAAATTAAAGGGGGATATTTGAGGTCATGCTGTGAACCGATCCAAAGCAGCCATCTTCTTTCATCTCTGATTTTTTTTTTTTTTTTTTTTTTCTTGCGATGAAGAAAATGAAGTCATCGCTGGTTATGGCAGTGTCACGCGAATAGATGATCTCCCCTCATAAGCGCGTATAAAATGGGGCTGAAGAACACCTCCCGTCTGTACCAATCATATGCATGAGTTCCCTCTGGAAAGAGCACCAGATAAGATAAGCCTCACAACGTGACCCGACGTGGATCGTGACATTGAACTGGGGAGAACTTGGTTGCTCTTGCTCTGAACATCATGTGTTGAGTTGACCACGACTGGAGTGCCTTCTCTTCGGTTATCATCGCAAAATGACGGAACGGTAGCATTGTAGTTACTTTTCAAAGCAGCAAACGTGATTCGAGCCAGACATTTCTTCTGGTTTCTTTCATCATCCTTCCCAAGCTCCCAAGCTACCTACATTTGCATCGCAGCCATGATCGGACATTCAACCATCATAGCTTGGATGAAGGATCACAGCTCAATTTCACCGCGCATATTTCTCGGGCACGATCTTTTGTTCTGACTTGTTCATTTCTCATCTGCTACATCTTTTAATCGTCGCATAGCGCAGAGAAGCATCTACCTGAATCCATCCATCATCTAGCCATCCCTCTATCCAACCATAGCCGAGCTTTTCTATATACAATTCCCACCTATCCAAGACCCATCTTTTAGGTATGGAACTCAAGTCCAACGCCTCGCAATCAAAGGTATCATATTTGCGTCTCCACACAAAACCCCCCTCCTCCCCTCCCCCAAGATATGAAAAATACAAAGGAAAGAAGAAGGAAAATAGAAGAAGAAGAAGAAGAGGAGGAAAAGGCGGTATCTTCCCTCAACGGCGACCTTTCTTACTCTCTGAGCGGAGATCGAACCAAAGAGGATTAAGAAGAGAAAAAGAAAAACAGGGGTAAAGAAGTGAAAGAGAGGTATCATGTCGTAACTTCGTCTCAGGCCATCCAACACAACCACACAACCAACCAGCCGCTCGATGCCCGTTATACACCCCAATCAAAAGCAAACAAAGGAAACCTTTTTTTTTTTTTAGCCGGCCATGTTTCGTCATCGAACGGAGGGACCACCAACACCCTCCTCCTCCTCCTCGTCGTCATCAGCCGGCGCAGACGTAGGCGCATGGCTTTTCCGCTGGTTATATCCCAAGAAGCTCGTCCTCGCTCCAGCACCGAGGATCCAGTCCGGAATAGGCGGTGTCATTTCTCCATCTGCCCCATCGTGAGCCAGCGATGGTCTAGGCGAGGGCGATGGGCTGCTCACAGCCGGAGTCTTCCCCTTCATCGGCGACATCGTTGCCTCATCCCTATCATTTCCTTCCTCGTTCCCACCATATCCTTCCTCATCATCGTCACTCTCCTCCTCATCAGATAACCCCTCTTCATCCTCCTCCCTCAGCTCCTCCGCCCTCGTCCCCGGTCTGCTCCCGCCCTCATACTTCGTCACCTTTGTCCTAAAGCTTTCTAGTGATCCTTGCCTGCTCAATGGGCTTGGCACCGCCGGCAAGCTCCCGCTTCGCCTTCTCGTTAGGGTTCGGATGCTATGCTTATCCGAGAGGACCTGTCCGCCGTTGGGCGCCGCGACCACTACTGTCCCGGGAGACACGATAGCCGGCGGCGTAGGCGAATCCGATCGGAAAAGAGGGTGGATGTGCGCCTCGCTGATGTGCGTTTCGGACATAGTGGCGTGCTGGGTGAAGGCTTCCCGCGCGAACTCCATTGACCGCATAGAGGCGGGGCTGAAGGAACGGCTGCGGCGGCGGATGGACTTGGGCGGGACGAACAGACTGTTGCCAAGGTCTAGCTCACTGTCTGTAGGAGGTAAAGCGGGACTGGGTTGTCTGCTGGTCATGGGGCTGGCCGCGATGGTTTCAAGGAAGGGTGCAGGTGGCATTGCCGGAGAGCAGGCGGGGGCAGCCTCGGCGACAGCCTGTCGGTTTTGAGGGTTAACGGAGTTGATGCCTTCGGAGTTGAAGCCGTTCTCGAGAGTCATGGCAACGGAGGTGGTCTGACGCTCGTGCATGGCGATTGAATCGATTGAGTCGGATTGGCGCATGCGGAGAGGTAGCGAGTACTGGCTGTTGCTCGCTAGGAGATGGGTCCTTGAGGGAATGGGGCGCATGGCTGAGTAGAGCGATGAGCGCCACGAGCTCAGAGAGTTACCCACCGAGTGTCCATAGCCCGGACGGGGAGTTCCCCGCCCCGACATTGTCGGGTCTTCGAAGCGGACCTTCTCCGTGTTGGGGTTCGTCTGCTGGTAGGGGATCGCCTTGACTTGTTGCCTTGGCGAGCTCTCCACGTCTCCTGCGCAACACACGCCGCCCGTTCGAACACTGATGAAGCACAGAACCTGGAAGGATAATTGCGCGGCGAACGCGACTCCCAATGCCACCGCTCCTCCAACAACGAATCCCGATGTCTTAGTCCCCGCTACCTTCTCTGGTAGCTTTGCCGAATCCTTGCTGAGCAATACCAAAGTGGCGATCGACAGCGCAGCAGCCACCGAGCACACAATAAGTCCAGCCCCAAACAATGCCCCGTTGAACCTCCTAACCAAGCGTGAAGCCACGCAACCTGAGATGAGTTGGAAACTTGTTGTGAAAAGGGCCAAGCCCTCAAACACCGCGGCGACGATGGTTGTCGTCTTGACTGACGAAGAAGTCTCCTGGGCCAATGACCTGGCCAGGATGATGTGAATAACAAATATAGCCGTTGTCGCAAAGACGGCTACTGTGCCCAGCAACGCTGGGATCACAGGTGGTATCGCCATTGCGAGTTGCTGATGTGATGACAGTCGAACGAATAAAGCGGAAGAGAAAGGACGAAGAACCGAAAACCCAGAGGACCAAAATGTTCGGGTATGAAACACTTATGGCTCGGGCTTTCTCGTTCGTCTTTTTGTTTGATGAACCCCAGTGGTTCGTGCTGTGTGGCGGTCCGGATAATGTGTAACGAACGGATGAACGAAACGAACGACTCCGGCAGGTTTTCTAATTGGCAAAAAGAGTCCGCGGAGTCACGGAGTCGAAAAAAAGAAGGTTAATTTGGATAACCTCCCCCGGCTCTCACCCCTCGCTCCCGTCCGGCCGTCTTGCCGTGTGTAAAGGTCTCGTTCGATTCGATCCGCGATTGCTTGTCCCAAGGTGTTGGTTAACAATCGGCAGGGTAAAGCAATCAACAAGGAGCCCAGGCCCTTGGAAAGCTTTAGCTTGCAAGGTGAGTAAAAGTGGTCGGCGGTCAGCAGACAGCAGACGAGAGACACGATCGGCCAGCTAGTGAAGAATAGGTGGGAAAACAAGATGTGGTCTGTGCGTTTTGTGTTTGAGAAAAAGCAAACAACCTCTTGTTAACTTGTCTTGTCTCTCTTTGTGTGAAGAGCGGTATGCTGCTGGTTTTGGTGATGATGACCTTGAAAGCAAGCAAGGAAGCAAGCATGCAAACAAGAAACCAGTACAATACCCCAGCCTCCCTTTTCTCTCTCGTTCTCGTTCTCTTCCTCTTTCTCTTTCTCCTGCAGGTTCCCGTATGTCGGTATTGGTCGGTCCACACCAAAAGAACGGCTTCCGACGACGACAGATGTACTGTGTGTATGTCGTTTTGTTCTTTTTTTGGCCGTGTGTGGTTTGTGTTGTGGTTGGATAGTTTGAAGGAATGTGTTTCAAGCCACGTGCAGCGCAGTGCAGTGTAGTCGGTAACCAGCCGGTTGGTGAGTTGTTGTTGTTGTTGTTGTAAGTTGAAGAAGTATCGGGTCGGATACCCTTTACTCGATCGATTCCCGAGGCTTGTCTTCTTCGTTGTGGGAAACCAGTGGTAGCTTTTGGTATGTTGTATGTGCCGAATGACCGATTTTGGGGTGAAAAAGAGTAAGATCCAATTCTGTTACATGCAACAAAAGATCCTCCACGATGATGACGAAGAAACTTTGTTAACACTCTTCACTTCGTTCCTCGATGTAATTCTGTAGGTATCCGTAATCCCGGAATCGGTGGGAAAAAAGAGTTGGAGAGATTCTGGACCAGGAAGGCTGGTCAACGGGAGGTAAGAGGCATGGAGTCGGAAGCGGAGGTCAAACTGGAGACCAAACTGGGACCACCTTTGGGTTGTCGATTGGATGAACGAATGACAGACAAGCAGCTTGAAGTTAAATATGATTGAACGAATGAATGAATTGGAACAGGTTCCAGGTAAAGTCAAGTCAAGACAAGCCTTTTTTAATTTTTTTTTCGCGAGTGGAAAGCCTTGGGTAATAGAAAAAGAAAAGAAAAAAAAAAGCTGGGTAAGAGAGAGAGAGCGATGATCCACCCCGGACTTCACGGATGGAGTGAATGCTGAGTGGGCATCATTGGGTAATAAATGTATGTATTACCAAAAACCCTACCCACCCTAGACTATAGTACCGAGGTGTATGTAAGAAAGAATACACCTAAGAGCTGAAAAGAAAGAAAAGAAGAAAAAAAAGGACCGTGCTCGCTCCCTCGCTTGCTCGCTTCGCGTATGTACACTACACTAGTCACTACGGGGTGCATGACTCTGAGAGAAAGTGAGAAGAATTGTTGTTGGACCGACCAGCTGCAGGTTCGAGATGCCGTGCCTTACGTGTGGATCCCATTTGTTGTTGTTGTGGGTTTTCAGGTCCGTCGTTTCGGGATGAGGGATGAATGAGGATGGATGGATGGATGGATGGAGGTGGGTAATAATACTATGTAAACATGGGTTGTTTGGAGCGAAGCCTCCTTGTTATTCCAGAGAACCGACGCTTTTTTTTTTTTTTCGTTGCAGGGAGTTCGGACAGGTACAGGCCAGTACTGATTGATTTGTTAGCTCGAGACCTTGCGTCAGCTTTCCTATGCGTTTTCATTAGCTAACTAATGCGTGGTTATTACCTTGGAAATGCCATATCCGATATTCAATATGTCATTGAATTCCTGTCAATGCCTTTGTAATTCGTACTCTGCTATTTTGATTTGTCTTTGTGAGGTTTGAGACTAGAAGGATAGGTAGCTTTCGTGTAGTGGACAGAGTACAGTACAGGTACCTAGTGTACCGAGCTAACAGACGAACCAGCATCGGACTGTACACTACATTATGCCCACCACCCCTGGTTCCTGGCTACATACCTGTCCGCTTCACTTCTTGTACCTGCCAAGCCGTTCTCAGATTCGTTGTTGTATTACGTGCTGGAGTGCATGAGGGGGGGCAGAGCATTGAAGGTCTTCTTCTTCTTCTTCCCGACTCTCTGGCATTGGTGATCTCCCCTCCGTGCGTATCTTGTAACAGAACCTGGTTAACGGGGATCGGCGATGGACTCGCCTGGCCACACATGGGCTTTGAGCCGCCAAGAGACGGGTATTTACCAAGATGAGCATAGAATGGATTCGCAAACCGCTCGCTCCAAGGTTAGTGTACAAGAGTTAGGCTCGATTTTGCTAGTCCAGGAGTTTACGCCGAGGATGTCGTGAAGGACCGGTCGCACGTCATTTCCGATCCAAGGACTCTACTACTATTCCGTGAGAGGCGGTATACAGTAGTGTAGTCCTGGCTGGCTTGTCGTAGCTATGACTGCTGAACTCGACTACAGTACTACATATACGCTCATCAATCGGCGAGTCCTAGTTCAGGTTTCAGAGACCTTTTTTCCTGCTGTGCAAAGAAATCAAAGGCGGGGCTAGGGTCGGGTCTGTCTCGCTCTCCTACATGGGGGATACATATCCGTGTGGCGTATGTCAGTCAGTCCAAGGACAGGCCACGGAGAGACAATGCTGAGTAACGTCGAAGCAGGTAGTAAGATGCAGGAGATGACCACCAGATCTAAGCTGCCTCGTCACCTTTGATACTCGTGAGAATGGCTGTCCTCGTCTCTAGCGTGTAGGCCACGAGATGTCGTTGCAACGAATGGCAAGGGAAAAGGTGGTTTGCGTTGCTCGACAGGTTACATGCACCTGCTCGTTCCTATGGGTTAAATAAGATATGGGTTCCGGTGCTATGTTTCCAAAGATCGCGGAGGTTGCCATGTTCTGTGCTGGCTTGCGGTGTCGAAGCAGTAAGCCGGAGGGTAGCGGAGAGAAGTGGGGTCTGTGTACCCCATTCGTGACGGGCAGTATTTGGTAATCGTCGTCCATCGGTTCGAGAAGAGCTTCAAGTTGTCTCCATTGTACACAGTGTTACGCGCATTCTCTGTGATGCAAGCGAGACCTGCATAGCCCGTGTGTAATTCACTTTTGTTGACACTCTCGGCGTCGTCGTCGTCGTATTATTACGAAATGGCACTGTACAAGTATCTGTTGCTTGACATCTGATAACGTGGAGTCAGACAGCGACAGCTTTCCCGAGACATTTGATGCTCACAGTGGGCACTCTGAGCACTTGAAGCCTCAAGTTGTAAAAAACCGTCACCCAGGCCGTCGGTTCAGTGTTCAGCAGCAAAGATGAAACTGGAGCTAGACTCCAACGAGATAAAGCTTGCGATGCGATCTGTCAGACGCAGGTACCGTGCACGGACCGCGCCCTTGGTCCCTGCACAATGCAACGGAAGGTGGGATTGCGCGAGGTGGGCACGACCTGCTGCTGCCAAGTGCCCGAGAAAATTCCTCGTAGGGCCCGTTCCACTTCGTCCAGAATTTTTCATGTACTGTAGTGTACACAGCACCGTACGGCGTAAAGCTGCTTCAGTTCTGTAGAGTCATTTCCGGTTCTTCGTAATCCAAAAGCCTCGATCTTCAACAACAGAGCCTCCTCTCGGCCATGATTCGAACACTGCTGCCCAAAGTTCCTTGGATGAAGGGCCGAAAGGAAAAAGAGGCAACAGGTATCTCGGATACACAAGCCACTGCTGTGCCACGACTGAGGAGATGAGATTTTGTGTTGCCCTTCCTTCGACTTGGAGCCTCATCTCGAGACCTCGATCAGGATTCATTCATCTCAACCATGATTGGTCAATGGCTTCATGCTGTGTGCTCTTAAGATGGAAAAAAGGGTGGGGGAGGCCGACGGTTGATTTCCACTTCGGCCATGTGCCAACCTAACGGTCGAACAGCTTAGCTTCACCGGCCGGCAGAGCATTTGCGGTGTTGCAGTTCGCGCATCGTCGTGCCTCCGTTCATTTCATTTTAAACTTGCAGCTCGACAGCAGGCATTTTCCTTGTCAACTACCGACAGCGGTCAAGCGGTCACGCGACAGCACCGGCAACGAGAGACATTGCTTGTGAAGGGGGCGGAAAGTCAGCGCGGAGATACCCTCAGTTATGGTTTGTTACATACCGCTCTTGAAAAGACATTTTGAATGTCAGCCAAGGCTTACTTGACAACACTATGTGGTTCTAGAAGCGAGCTGGAAACGACACTCCATTTACATGTGTACACTACGAAAGTCTTGTCCGTTTCATCGACAATGAGCCTGACATCGAGGCTACATCTCACCCAAACCCCGAAACCTCAATCCTCAGCGGACTCAAGCCCATCGCCCGAAGCTCGATGATTGTTCGGTTCTTCGAGAAGGCAACTTCCATTCTCTGCATTCGATTTGAAATCTCTTCACCCGTCCCGTCTCCCCCGAACATATTTTTAATCCACTTGTATGAACCAGTTGCGGAATGATGATCGAAGATCCCCAAAAACCTCAGAAATGCGGAAAAGAAAACAACAGCACTACAAATGTTGTGGTGGAGTTCTCCCAATTTCCCAACAGTGGAGATATCTTCACTTCTTTCAGTTAGACAACCGCAGCTAAAAGTTTTCTGACTCTCAGTTCCCGTCCCGTCTGCCGTCCGTCCATGATTTTCGGCAGCTTGCGGTGCGACGGCCCTGCCTGCCATTGATATCACACTCTCAGGTATTTCACATCTTCACAAGCAGATCCCTCAAGATCCCCGTTCTTCTCATCGATCGCATTGATGTGCTCGCGTGAGTGCTACGCTAGATCGAGCTTGAACCGCATCATGATGCTTCGCGGGTTTCCCTCGATGCCATAAGCTTGCCAACGAGATCCGACAAAAGGCCGAGAGCAAAGGTGCTGTTAATAGCATCGACAAGCGGGCACCTCTGGATGCCGGACCGGCAGCATTGCGGCCCGCTGGGTCCCTACACTAGCAAGCCTAGGAAGAAGCGTCCTAAGTACTCATTGTCTTGGACCATTGGTTCTGATCGGCAAGCAGGCCGACACTATCGGCTGGTGCCGCGAGGAACTTTTGCATCTTCCAAGAAAATCACGGTAGTACTGAAAAGAGCATCTCGATCTTATCGTGATCTTCAATTATTCGGCAATCGTGTCAGTTGCGTCATCATTCCACGTACAGATCGAAAACTGGAAAAAGTCCGAGTATTATGCGAAGTAATTTCGTCGTTTTCTTGATCGAAAGAAGTCATCGTGATCCTGCACACACACTTTCGCAGTGTACTACTGTGTAGTCTTAGTGGACGACAAGTAAGTAGAATAGGCCCGCGGGTTTCACCGTGCAGCGAGCGAGTGACCTGTGTCGTCTGTCCCCGGCGGTGAGATTACGGACTCATCCCATCCATCCACCAGATTACGTACTGGACTGGACTGGGCTCAGGCGTCCGTTGCGTTGCCCATGAACATGAAAAAGGCCCGGTGCGGACACGCCGGGGCTTACTCCGGCTCGGTTGGATACTGTGTACGTATACTGGGGAGATTAATAAATGCCGAGGGAAAGCTCTATGCATGTAGTGTAGTGTGGGGCGGATGTTTTGGGACTGTGAACTGAACCGAACCGAAGGTCAGTGCGCGATGGTCCTGGAAATGTCCGAGGTCGATACTAAAAAGAAGAAACTGAAACGACCACCAGACGGCCTGTGTCTGTAGCAAGTCGACGCTTTGAACAGCTGTTCAGTCGTGTGTATTGATGCCTAATCGTACTTTATATACAGCCGTGAAGCTCAGGGGGGAGAGCCAGAGCACATGGACAATCGGTGATTACTTTAGTTGTCGGTCGGTATTTTTAACAAACTTCAAAACTCACCATTGCAAGCCAAGGTGACTAACACGAGACTGAGAATAAGTAAGGCAGTGTGCAGTCAAAAACAGGAGTCGATGAAGCAGGTTACGGTGATCTCGAGAGTGTCCTTCACTCAGTCATCACGGCAATAGAGAAGAGAAAAAAAAAAAGAAAAAAAAGATATCAACACAAAAAGAGAAACAGAAAAGGCAAAACAGTTACGAGGCATAGAGATGATTTTAAAAGGCAGAAAGGCAAAAACAAAAGAATGGTCTCTCCCGCCGGGAATTGAACCCGGGTCTCGAGCGAATCGAACTGATGTTCAAGCTTGACAAGCTCACATACTGACCACTATACTACGGAAGACTTACAACTGTTGATCAGCTGTCGTAGTTGGTTGTGGAGAATAATACCGTGTGCTGAGCTTATATCATCGAATTTGGCACTGCCTACCGGTCAACACCATGTCAGCTGGTTGATTTCTGTTCAATCGATAACTTGCACGCCATTTTTCTGGAATTGTTCGCAAGAGTTATACTCTTATGGAAATGTGACGTGTGCTGGCTCAAGCAACTGGAGACCGTGTACACTTGGTAATACATTACGAGAACCGAACCTTTGTAGAACCTACAAGATGAATCTTGAACAAATAAATTCATGTGCAATGCTAGACTATATGAAAGCAACTTTATAACTCCGTGCCCTCCCAAGTGAGAGAGATCGGTGCCCATTCACCGGTACTCCTTTCAAGTATTCAGGCTGCTCTGATATCCGTTTCTCCTCTTCCCTTAGGGACACCCAACAATGGTCAAGGCCTTTTCGTTGTCGCCTCTTCCAGCCCACCGACACCGTTTGTACATTGTACATGCACTTTCCACTTCCGATGCACCCGTCTAAGCCATCAAAGCAATATGCTTCAACTCCTCCTGCACCAACTCACCCACTTTCATGGGCGGGTACGTCTTCTCCTCACCCTCATCCCTTCCCAGATTGAACTGCTCCGCCCTCAACCTATGCGCCTCCTCCGCCAACTTGGGAATAGGCGCAAGGTCATGATCCGAGTTCAGATGCCAGAAGAAAGTCGAGCTGATACGAATCAGCGGGCGGTCGGGGAACTGCTGCTTGCGCTTCTCAATGACCTCGACGGTGCGCTCGTTGACCACGACCTCGTGGAAGCCGGCCTTGATCAGACCGCCCGTGATGTGCTCGAGCTGCTTGCCGGCTTGTACCAAGAGGTAGTTACCCGCAGGAATCTTGACGGCGATGCGCTTGCCCGTGTTGCGGGCCCAGATGTGCAGACCGGGGTAGCGCGAGCGGCCGTGGATGGTGAGGAAGTTGAGGTCGGTGTGAAAGCCGGCGAGGATGGTGTCCTTTTGGCCGTACTTGACGAGGTCGGAGGCTGTGGGGGCGAGGAGGTGGGGGCTATCGTTGGAGGTATCAGTAGATGTGATAATGCGAGACTGACTATATGTTTTATTTGATAAGACGGAAAGACAACATACCCGTATTTACCCGCATCCTTAAAGGTACCAGCAGGCAAGCCAAGACCGACGGCAGTCATCTCAGTGAGACCCTCAACAGCGCTCTTCATCGAGGTACCCCACTGCTGCATGGCCGGGTTCCAGCGCTCCTTGATGTGTGGCGCTTGAGGAACGACATTATCCGCGTTCAAGCCGGGAAACTTGGTCTCGTAGGGCGGCTGCTCAGCCATGCGCCAGAAGAAACGGCACTTGGGGTCGGGGTGGTGGCCGGAAATATCCAAGGGCCTCTCCTCGGGCGCAAGGCGCTGGATGACGTTCAGGCATGGCTCGTCAACAGCGCACTTGGGTTTCTCGGTGTTCTCCAGAGTCACACCAATCTGGTAGCTCAGCTCGGGGCGCTCATCCTTGCGGAGGTCCTCCTCGGGTTGCGCAAAGTAGTCCTCTAGGAGATCCAGGAAGGTCTCGTTATCCTTCTCTGCGACACGCGAATCGTGGAGTACGAGGGCGCCGTAGGTGATGAGAGCCTTTGCGGCCTTTTCGCACTCGGCCCTGACTTCGGGGGAGTCCACGGGGTTATTAAGGTAGACGTCGAGGTCGATGACCGGAAGGTCCATGGAAATTTCCTGGGGAACAACACTCATGGTGAAATGCGGGGGTGGGGTTGATTGTCTATGCAGATGCGCTGTGGTCAGGGGTTCAAAAAAAAAAAAAAAGAAAAAAAAAAAGAAAAAGGGTTCGCTTCGTGGGTGCGATGCGCCAAAATCAACAACACGAAAGAGTTTGATATTCAAAAAAGAGAAAGAGACGTCGGTGGTTTGGAGTTATTATCGACAGGTTCACAAAAATATGGTGGTTTTCTAGTTATCAAGGCTTCCCCGATAACCATTTTTTTTTCTTCTGGGCAAAAATACGAAAAGCTTCCTCTCTGGTCGCGGCCATGACATGGAAGCCCAAAGAGGAAGGTCCCCCGCATAACCTGGCGATGAAAGTCAAAGGGTGCCTGTAACGTGCCTCGGATCTGGTAATTCTGGGCACATCTGGATGCAACCACCACGCATTGGCAGCAGGCCAAGCCCAAATTCTCCGCCTGACTAGCGAAGGATGAGCCCTGAATCCGGCGATATCCGCCATCATCCGCCCATCTTGAGGTGTCTAGACGCTGGTGCCTGGGAACGTAAGCAAGTGCTCGCTTCGAGATATGAGCTTGAACCGCACTGGCGGGATTGACTTTTGCTTGTCATCTGCTTAAGGTGTCGATTTACATGATGCCGAAAATGGTTAACAGGATGGGAAAAGGACTGGCGACAATACGCCTATGGAATTAGTTGTTTTGGAAAAAGACAAGAGGTGATGCTAGACATTAACAAATGGACGCTTCAAATGGAGAGCGGTTACTGTTCAGCGCGTACTGTCCGAAAACCAAATTCTATACAGAAGGTTATAGTCCCACCATCCGCCAAAACTTCCAACAAACTACGACAGCTGATCACAGCTGTAAGTCTTCCGTAGTATAGTGGTCAGTATGTGAGCTTGTCAAGCTTGAACATCAGTTCGATTCGCTCGAGACCCGGGTTCAATTCCCGGCGGGAGAGACCAACATTTTTTTTGCATCTATCTTTTTCTCCACTGCGTTCGGAACTTGCAACGACGTCGAACTTTCTTTCTTTCTTTCTTTCTCTTTTTCTTTTTTCTTTTTTTTTTTTTTTTTTTTTTTTTTTTTTTTTTTTTTTTTTTTGGTTCCTTGAACTTCTTTAGTACCTCATTCAACTTTCCCTATATGGTGCTTACAAAACATACATCAAAAAGTCCTCAACTCACGCCGTCAAGTATAGTAGCTAACCCGAGACCTCAACAGCACCATCACCCTCCCCTCACTGCTTCTTCCATCCCATGTTCATCTTCTCTCCTTTATTCTCTACCACGCCACTCCACCATCACATCAAAACCCCAGGCCAAGCATTCGTATCAGGCGGCAATTTATACCAGCACCGATTCCTCCTCTCTCTTTCTCTCTCCTCCTGCCCACCAGGCTGCCCTCGATCTCCTCCTCCTCCTCCTTCAACAACCGCATCTCTAACGACACCACTGTTATTCTCTTGTCCTTGTCTAGAGGAACTACTCGGCGCTGATTGCCCACCGCTCGCAGTAGTACTAGCACTAGCTGCTCCCAACGGAATATTTTCCGACGTCTGACTCTGGTTTTCCAGCGACTTGTTGTTGTCGCCTGCCACCGAGTTCTCCGGTTGGATTTTACTTCGTGAGAGGGTGGCTAGGGAGAGGATGCAAGCGGCGATGATGGTGAGGGCGGATTCGGCAGTTGCGTAATAGATTAGGGGGGCGGTGGTGACTTTGTCAGATGGTGTTAGCAAGTGAGGAAGGAAGCGAGTGAGTGGGAAAGGGTGATGAAAGAATGAGGGAGGGAGGCAGGATACGTACAGGTAAAGTCTGAAGAGGTGAGGCCGGAGATTACGGTTGTTTTCATTATGGCGGTGGTTCCGGAGCTGGAGGTTGGTTACGTTGGTTAGGACAATGAGTTCACGGTGGTTGTGAAGTGGAGGAGAAAGGGGGGTACATACACAAGGGCGACGATGATGGCTAGAGAGGTGCCGAGTTTTTCTTTCCGTTGCATCATTTGGAGTTGATGGAATAGTGCTAATGGGAGAAGGGCTAGAATGAAGTCTACGGCTGCCGAGTATCCTGCAGAACCATATCAGTACAAGAGCTAGACGGTCAACTAGGATGTAGTAGAACATACCAGCAGCAAACATCGCATACTGGGGATAAACCTGGTTATCCCAGCATGTCCCTTCCATATAGGTATCCCACGTCTTCGCGGCCGGTGAGCATCTAATCCACATAAAGAGGGCGTTGACGATCAGAAAAACGTGGATGGTGGCCACGCCGAGCCAGAGGAGGTCCTTGGTCCATCTGCCCGACAGCAACCGGAGTAGCGTGAGGGCGAAGGAGGTCTTGCTCCATACCGAGGCGAGGATGGAGAGGGTGCCGATGAAGTTGCCGAGTAGACCGATAGCGGGGAGATTGTCTTCGGGGATAGCCTGAACGTGTTCACCGAGGCCTTTGGAGGTGGCTATGGTGACAATGAAGATGGAGGTTTTGAGGACGAACTGTTTACGTGTTAGTATGGTTGACGATCTCTGGAAATGAGGGTACACTTGCCCATGAGAGAGAACAAATGTGGTCATCCCACCATAGTTTCTTCTTGGAGCGTAGTTTCCACACTATTCTGACAACAAGGGATACCGCTGCTAAGCCGGTGAGTGTCCAAGTCACGGCGAGGATCTCGGATCCTCGATTTTCAGATTCCATCTCAACGATAGTGATGATGATAGTAGGAAGAGGAGAGAAAAACAATCGTCCATGGGTCGAGGGTTGAGGACTGTGCCAGATTGAGACCTACCAGGGGGCGTTCTGGGTTCAACAAGCTGTCAAGAGTGTCTTATAGAAAGAAGAAATTCCTTGGGCGAGCTTGCGATACACAACATATGCGCTCTGTTCGGGCCCATAGTGCGTGAGCCAGAGGTCACACATAGTGACCGTCAACCCCGAAGAGGGAGAGCTCGAGGAGAGGTAGGAAGCCCTACTTGGGACACATACTGCTGGCTCCCTTTTTGGTGCTTCATTCTCGCCTCGGGGTCGAACTCTTGAGACCACCGCCACCACCGGGGCCGAGAGCATCCTCAACGGGTCAAAACAGCATTTCCCGTGTCCGAGGTTGTACTTGGTTTGCTGGCGGGCGGTCACGGCTGGTGGTGTCACGATGGGTCCTCGAGTGACCAGTCCTTTGGTGTTTACGGACGCTTGCGCGGCGATCAGACCCCTATTGTTGTCATTTGGGGCGACACATCAGCCGGCTTGATCATACACCTTCCCTTTCCTGTAACACCCATGTGTTATGGTTTCCTCAAGATTGCTGTCGGTATGGGACTGGACTGAACTGAGCTCAGGCACCACCATAGCCGCTGTGGTTCAGCTCCCCATGGTTCATGAGTGATTCGAGTTTCATTGCATATGCCGCTTGATCATGATTGCTGGTCCCAACAGCGGGATCGCCAGGTACAAACTATATGCCGAACCCATCAAGTCGAGATGGGACAGTGTGGGCTGTACCCAATATCACGGGTGATCCCTCTCTTCATCTGCAGGACTGGTAGAGCTGTGTGCTCCAGTTCACCAAGACGTCAATGTCAACCGCATTGTGGTATTGCTTTGTCTCCTGGAAATTGAGGAGAAAGGGACCTATCCCTGCTTGCAAGTCAGTTCTCCATTGGGAACCGTGAGGTATAAGATGCCATGTTAAGATGTCAACAGGGGCATTGTGAATACCAACAACGGTTCGCTACCACCTCATAACCTGCTTTCCGCGCTTGTTAATGAAATGCCAAATCCAAGGCTGAAAGCGAAGAATCATGATGTGAAATGAGTGATAACCAGCGAAACGTCGGAGAATGTTGAGGGCTCAATTGCAGACGCGACTTGTGTTGTCCTCTTTCAAGTTCATTGATGTAAAGAGCAAGAAGACATGGCGCCTGCAATGCCGACAAGAAGGAGCATTTCCTGGCTCGCTGTGTTAGCGCTATGCATGGCCCAAGCTCTCGCTGTGCAGTGTTCGAATGACAACTGTCTTAGCGGTATGTTTGCCCTGTAGCCAGCTGCTAGCGGATGCTTGTTGACGTAACCGTCTTGTTGTCCTATCTTATCGCCATGTTTCCAACTTGAACTCCCATCGTTTTGCTTGGACACTTTGATCACTGACAAGCTGTTTGTTGTACAGCCATACAAAATGCGCCAACTGGCAGAGACGTCACGGCGGACTGTCTGTCTTTCCTTGCGCAAACTGCTCCCACGGGAACTATCAGCAGGAGAACGACCACGACGACGGTGACCAGCACAAAGAGGGTTGCGACTTTTACACTACATCGCTCGGCGACCGTTACCACAAAGACAGGGCCAACGAGTTCAATTGCCTCAGAGTTTGAGGATAATGGGAACCATAAGCGGACAAAAGTTGACTACGATGCCCTCAACGGGGAAAGGCCGGGCTTCTCACTCGTACAGGCTCTCCAGGAGCGGCGGGTGACTACAAGTCCAGCTTCGGCGACACTACCTCTATATGCGAAGAAATGCGCCTCAGAAGCCGATTACTATTCAGCATGCTCTTGCTTGGGACTCTCTCAAACCACTAGGGCTGCTGCTCGGCCAGTCACTACGACAACAGTTACTGTCTTCGAGACGGTTGCGAACGTTACCCTGCCGCCTTTTTTCGCCAATAGCACGATTCCAGGAAGGCAAATTGGGACAGGGACAGGAACAGCTATGAGCACAGTTTACGCGGGAAGGAAGAATGGAAGTGGCAATTCTTTACGTCCAACGACTTTGTTCACGAGCCGAGTGACCTTTTCCAAAGAAGTAAGCAGTGATCCGGGGTCGACAAGCGTTTTCAGTGCGTCGGCACCTTCGGCCGCCAAATTGACCGTACATGTGATGACCATTGCAAAGCCTACTACAACACAGGAGCTATTATGGGTGAACACAACATCGACCCGCAGTTATCCAGCTGGAAAAGCTACAGCTGCTCAACACACCAACTCTACGGCAGCTCTAGCAACAGCATCTGCAAACATCACGACTTCCTCCACTCAGCTCAATATTACAAAGAGTGCCAAGTACCTAATTCCCATAAACAGCACAGCGTCCTGGTATAACGGGACAGCTACCAGCCCATCACTAGCAAGTACTAGCACTGGAGTGGCCAAGACAACCGAGAGTGTCAAGTTTCCAATGTACAAGAACACTACTGGTAAAGCTTCATGGCACAACGGCACATCAATCAGCTTTCTACCACTGGGTACCGGAACCGGGACAAGAGCCACACTCACAACCAGTCCCATCGCTTCCCCAACAACAACCATCGCCCGCCTCCCCTTCCTCATAAACACCACAGCCTCCTGGTCCAACGGAACCGCAACCACAGTTTTCACGAGCCAAAGCACCGGCACCGGCACAGGAAAATTACTCACTAACACCGGCTATCACAACACCTCAACCTCTACTCCCACTTCCACTTCGACCACTACACCATCACCCAAACCAACAGCCACGAAAGACCTAACCTGCAGCGAAACCTCCACCCCTTTTTCGCTTCGCGTTTCCCAACCCGGCGGTACTTTCGATAAGTGGTTTGTTCACGTCGTTGGGAACGGGTTGCTCTTCACTAGCAGTCAATCTCAAGCAAGCTCATTCAGTGTAGAGGGGACTGGACATTTGTGTGCGGTGGGGTATGACGATAGGAAGGCTAGGCCGAGGATTGCTGCTGTTGGTGTTGCTGGTGCTGGTGCTAGTAATGGTTCCAGAAACGGAACTGGTACTGGGAGTGGTGATGGGAGTGGTAGAAAGGGAGTAGGGGGTGGGGGACCGGTGTGGATGCTGAGGCAAGAAACGCTAAAGGGTTATTGGGAGGATTACAAAGCTTTGGAGTGTACGAAGGGGGATGGGGGGTTGAGTTGTGGTGTTGGTAATTCTACGAATGATGAGGTTGGGTCGGGGTGGGTTGGGTGTGGGTTGCAGTTGAGTTTGGGGAGGGATATTATTGATGTTGGGTATGGGGGGTTGAATTGCTCGGCTGTTTCTTTGGAGGTTGTCGAGTCTTGATTGAGGCAGGTATGATTGACTGAATATGTTAATACAGTCCCGGACCAAAAATAAAACACGTTTACCCCGCAACCCCACATTTACCGCTTTTTTACTTTCTTTCATTTTCAATACCTTCTTTTCAAATGCCCGCTATTACTGCCAGCCCTATTAAAAAGCTAAAATTTAAGTATTCAACTCCTCGGCGGAGGAACCGGATTGCAGCAAAATACCAAGCGGGCGTCACATCTACCGCTATAGCTATACATAAGAGCGTAACGCCAGAGTTGGTCCGAGGCATTACAAAGCGCTTCACTATTTAGGATTATAGTGTTTCTAGACCTGGCTATAGACGACCACCACTCCTTTTTAAACGAGATAAAAGAGCTATTTTACAAAAGACTACTCTCGAGCCCTTCGTTTCCATTAGGGATTTAAGGGTTACGGCCTATCCCTATATTTTAACGCCCACTCTAAAACGCTACTTCCGAAAAGAAAATATTTTATACTCCTTAGCCGTTACTCGGCTATATCTTTCCTAAGAAACGTGATACGGATCATTTTATATATGTAGATTAGCTCAGTAATTGACAGTGCATGCAGGTCGCTTGACTGCCCTGCCCAGCCCGCCTACCGGGCTGCAGGGTGGGTCTAGACGATAAGATAAGGAGGTGGGTCCGCCCAAATAGATTTTATTAATCCATCTACGAGCGGCTTCCACTTTTCCTGATTCTTCCTTCTGCATCACGCTTTACATAGAAATACTATTACTTTTACACATCAATTACAGGGTTATTCTTTAAAGCAGAAGCAGTCTATATTATATAATAGCTATAACGACTTTAATCTAGTCACCTTTTCAACTCTTCTCTGCCGATTAAGTCGTAGTAGATCGTATAGAAACCTACGATCCAGTCGAATTGTAGTAAACTAGATAGTATTATAATAACCAATTCAAATAGATTGTATCGCTCCTCTATAAATAACCCTCCCCTCGCTTAGTCGAGTTGTAGTAGACTACGGCGATATATACTTCCCCCTTCCTATTAAATAGTCGAATCGTAGTAGACTACGCGACAACTTTACCTTATTAAATAACCGAACTATAGTAGGCCGAGCAATAAATTACTCCGTTTAATAAATTTCTAAAAGGTTCTTATACAATTCACTACCTAGATCCGAGGCTCTTAAGTCGTTGAATTGTAGTAGGCGTACGCGAGATACCTTCGATGCGAAAGGTTTCCCCTTACTTTCGAACTTAGGTAGATAGCAGGTATTCCTAATTCTTTACATCCACTTAACTCTATTTCTTATACTAGTGTTAATAACCGATAAGCCTATTAACTAAAATAACGTCGTAACAGCTACCTAACGAGGGCTCTCCCTCCGACTAATTAAAATCCAACGCCGGCATAATACCACCCTCTAAGCGATCTATGACACTTCGCGATCTTCGAGTTCTGGCGAGAAATATACGCTCTAAATCGACGAGCGAGTAAACCCCTCGCGAACCTAGTTCCAAACCGACTAATAAACAAACCTTACGCGAATTCAATTTAAAGCCGACTAGTAAAGAACCCGGTTGTGAATTTAAAATAATTAATTTACTTCCTAATTAAAAGCCTAATCCTATCCGGCTACTTATACCTATTGTACTTAAGAGAATTGGAAATAACGCGGAAATAATAATATATGCGTTAAATAAAATTAATAGGAACGTTTATAAGTAAAATACCTAATATTAAAGAATCGATTGTAATATTAATTGCTTACGGGTAAAAATGGACGAAACTATAGGTTGTATTAAAAATATTAAAATCGCCCTAAGCGACTTCGGTAAAACCAACGATTAAAGATACTACGATATAGGATTAAGGATGGATACTATAGAGTAAGGTATTAATAGTATACTTTATGCAATAATAATGAAAATAGATAATCTTATAATATATTGTACTTTAATATTGCTATTAATATAATTACTAAGTAATTAGTCTTCTTATTATTTATTATTTTCTTTATTAAAAACGTCCGCTACCCGGGCGTAGAGCGTGCAACTTAGTGGTTTTATACTAATAGTTTAAGGTTACTTGGTTAAAATTATTATTAATATAGTAAAGAATCTTATTCTTAGGCTATTAAAGAACATTATTCTACTACCCTATAAACAAAATTCTTATTAACTCTCCCCTTATTGCCCTAAAACTATTAATAAATAGTATAACGATACTTTCCCCTTACTTAATAATTTAAAGGGTACTGGTATTGTAGTTTATTATAGAAAGTTAGTAATTTAAGGAGGCTAAACCTCTTTTGGACTGTTTTTAGGATTCTTTAACTCCCCCGAACGTAATAATTTGTATTTAGTAGTTACGGGTTTTCCACTAGCTATAGCCAAACTATCTAAATACAAATCTCTTTAGGTAGAAGATAGAAGTAGAACCCCTACTCTAATGTATAGAAGCCCTCTATATTTAATAGTAGTTTAATTGGCTATTCCCCCTTTTTAAAATTAAAGTAAGGCTTCCACTCGGAACTCTTAAGACGTTACTATCCCTCCTTATTAGAGTAAATAATTAGCGGTACCTTAATATAAATCCGTTACTATTCCTAGGTTACTATTGAAATGGCGAGAAAACCACAATAACAATACCAACACTACTACGACTAGCACGATGCATAAGGACCGTAGTTCTTAGCTGTCTAATTAGGTAGAGTGGTAGATGATTTTCAAATCTTTTCGGATAGTCGAAATAGGAGGCATTAAATTAAATACAACTCATTAGAGTTACGCATTTGTTGAATAGCTTAATATTCAATTTTCGCCGGAAAATAAGGGTAATTATTGGATCTTTTTACATCTTTCTTTCGAATATAAATAGGAATACGAATAAATATTTCCCTAAGAAGAATAAAGGATTATTTAATATATTAAATAAATAAAGATAAATAATTAGCGATTATTAAAAATTAATTTTATATAACTAAGAATTATTAAAGAGATAGAAATTAATTATTTAATTTAATGAAAGGTTAATATTCTATTAATTTCCCATCCTATTTCCTTATATTCGATTTCCTTTTTTTTTATTCTTTTTCTATATTAATTGTTTAGGTTTGTTCAATTTAGAAAGTATTTCCCTAATTCTATATACTTTGAAAATTTTTAAAAAAAATCACTATTAAAAACCAATATATATATTCCTATATACTACCCCAAATCAAATCTTCCCTTTAAATCTACGACAAGTCCCCTAAACAAACTCACCTTCACATATATATATATATATAATTAGTACCTTCCTTTATTATTTCTATTACCCCTATATCTTCTCTTACTTTTCGTAATTAAATATTTTTCTCTAATATTTTTAGTAAGGAAATAGTTATTTATTCTCCGAATAATATTGTTCTAAATCGTTCTAACAAATTATAAAAGTCCCTATAATCTTAAACGAATATTTAAATTAAATTTTTCTTTAAATTCCGTTGTAATTTGGGAAGGGTTATTAGGATTGTATTTAAGAAGGTTATCCAAGTCGCGCTCTATACGGCGAATAAAGTAGACCAAAAAATTCACTATAAATTTATAGGAATTAAAATCAAATAGTACTACTATTTATAGTTAATTAATTGCTGGGCTTTAGCTAACAATAGGAATTTTTCTAACAGAGTAAAAACTCTCAAATCCGGATACTAAGGATAATCTTTACTATAATATAAATATAGGGTTTAATAGTATATACTTATATTGAGAGGAATTAGAGGGAATAAACGGGTTCGAAGGCCTCTTAAAATTTAAAGGAATTAATAATTAATTAATCCTCCTTACTTAAATAAATATTTATATAAAACTTATAAATAATCCTAAGGTACTTAATAGGCTAATACTTCTTGGAACCGATAAAATTCTATTTTCTAATAATAATTTAAAAGTTCCTATATTTCTAAGCGGAAAAGGAGTTTGTAGCTATATACAATTTATTAGAATATTAATAAAAAGAGCCCCAATTTCCCTAGGAGGGTTAAATATAATTAATATTAAACTATAGCGCATCTAATTATTAATAATTAATTAAATAAAAGCACTTCATCTCCCAATTAAATAAGGATTGAAAAGTAATAATATTACTAGATAAAATAAAATTAGAATAAAAGCCGGCTAATTTGTTATTTTTAAGCTTTAAGAACGAATTATAATTTATCGAAGCGGAATTAAGGTTGGAATCGAATTTTAAAAAGAATTTAGGGGTAAATAAATATTATTTAAAGAAAAAATTAATCTTCTAACCTCTCTTCGTTATACTATAAAAGTAGGAGAGGAAGAATTAAATAATAAAGAGTTAAATAACGAAGAACTTTTGCTACTATTTTTTTTAATAGGTTTAATTAATATATATTAAAATAGAGGAAGGTTAATTATAGTATTAGGGCTATTATATAGTTAGTAGTAAAGAAAGATCTTTATACCTTTGAACCCTTATAATCGGTTCTCTTTAATCTAAATAATATAATCCTTAGGCTATATAAGACGCTAAGGCTTTTCTCTAGTACTATATATACGTTTATTTTATTAGGAAAGGATATTATTAGATTTACTATTTACTATAAATAATATTTCTCCTAAAGGATTCTTAAGTAAGCTTTTAAATTACTATTACTTTATTTATAAAGTATTATAAATTATTCTTTAATATTATTGTACTATAATATTCTTTCTCTATTTTTATTTAAATACTATATACTCTTTTAATATTATATTCTATTTCCAAATTTTAGGTACAAATATCTAAAAATTTAAATTATATTCTATTAATCTTATTCGTACAATTTTTACTACTATTAATCTACAAATTTAATTAAATTTTTAAGTAATAAAATTAATTTAACGAATAAAAAAGTCTAAATTAAACTTTATTACCCTCTAAACGTTAAATCTTTAAAATAATAAAACTAAGGCTAATTCTATATTCTTTAATATAGAATTATATAAATTAAAATTGTAGTAGTCCTATTAGCCT